AATAGAGAGAAACTTCTGGTGAAAGGGAACTGCTCAGCAAATAAAATCTTTCCTGTTTCCTGCTAAAGAGTCATAGGCCTGGTAATGCAAAGTAAGTGTAAATAACAAGTTTGCTACCTTAATAAGCATATCTAAACAAGGTGTGGCAGCCTGCTGGGCTGACTGATCTCCCAGGCCAACCTCAAATATCTGTATCTTTCCCCCTTTTGCCAAGAATTTGTATGCTAACTGACCAATGTTATCAATGTAAAATGGTTATGTTTAAAAGAAACCCTTTGTCTCTACATGGGTGCTCAGACTTTATGGGTCTACCCAGGTCTGAGACCTCATGCATGAGTAATAAAGCTTCTCCTGACCTCACCATTCCTGAAGTACCTCTTGTTCTTCCCTTGCCTGGATAAAAGGCTAGAATTTATTTCTGCAACACTGGTAGAAGAAGTAGGCAGGAAACCAGGTTAGAAAGAGTGATGTGTTCAGGGAGTACCACAATAAGAAGTCATTTTGTTATAGAGCAACCCCGATATTAAACGGGTTCCTGGCTGTGGGTCCTCACCCGCGCGCTTAAAGGGGACTTATGAATACTCTACTACAGACACACACAAAAGGTTAATAAAAGGTTTATTTACAAGGGAAAAGGAAATAAGGAAAATGTACAACTCAGGGAGAAAATAGGGAAATAAAGTCTTTAATGCGTCCTACCCGATCCGACGACCTGGAAACCCAAAGTCACTCTCAGAAGTGGCCGGACGCTGCGAGCTGGCGGAGAGCCAAAATGGGGGAGCCCCCAAAGCCCACGTGTCTGCCTTTTATATCCACCTGGCTGCTTAACCCCACCCTCAGGTCCCAGCCACCTTCCTTTGGTGATGATGGGATTTGGAGTTCCCAGTGTCTTTGACTTTGACCTAGGGTGGGGGTGGAGTCCACAAAGCCTATATGGAATTAGCTTTGGGACATCCTTTTCCCCCTAACAATTTGAGGCAAGACCAGAATACAAGAGAAACTGAAGTGAGGAGCAGACATCGGGTGAGAAATAATGGAAAACATATATTTCCAATTTATAATGGGAAAAAGCTTGGTAAAGTTTGAGACAGATTTTAAGAAATTCAAGTGTGGCTAGTATGCTGTGGAGAAGACAGGAAATGGTAAACTGAGTGGGGAGAGATAGCCAGAGTTCAGGGTAAGCTTGGTAGGCCAGAGGGAGGGGTTCTAGATTTGATATGACTCAGAGTCCTCTGGCCACTGTTTGGAGACTAACATAGAACAGGTGATTTTATGGTTTCACTTATTTAAAATGATCATCAAATTGGAAATGGTAGTTAAAAAAAAAAAAATAACAGCAAGGAAGGGTGGGAACTAAAATGACAGGAAAGAGGAAATGAGTTTTAAAAAATCTCTCAGTCAAATGAATTTGAGGGAACACAAGGTGCTTACAGGAGTGACTGAGGGGCTCTGCCAAAAATCCAGGGAAATGACAGAAGACTGAAAGACCAGATGCTCCTGTTTTCAATATAGGAGAGCTATGAAAGTAGCTGATGCAAACTAGAGGCAAGCACATTGTTCCCCAAACCTCAGTAAAATCTTCAAAGTGACTAATAACAAGGAGCTAGTAAGCATTTAGAAAAGGGCATTGTGATTATTAAGGAATTAGCAGAAATAGAAATTTTAAAAATATATGTAAATCTGTTATAGGACAGGGAGAGGGGCAGCCCAAACCCCGCAAACCTGCCTATTCTAAATGGGTTCTGCCATCCGCCACATCAACACAAAACATATGAGACTTTAATGAGAAGGAACTTTAATACAACTAGGAAACAATACAGGTAAGGCAAAGAGTCTAGTTTCTAAATGAAGCACCCAAAGTTACCCGTCCCCTCGTGGGTAAAAGTCCATCCATATGGGATCGGCACAGAGCAAGGCCCCAAAGCCTGCCACAAGTCTAAAACATCTTCCAGTGGGGACCCACAGAAAAGGGTCAGAAACAAGCAGACAAACCCGGAAGGAAAAGAGCAAAATCAACATCAAGATAAAAGCTGCCATTGTCACCTCCCCATGGGTCTCTCACCCACATCTGTGTCACCCAGTCCACGACCAAAAGACAAGCGCAGTTTCTTCACATGTCTCTAGGCTCCATGCGCCTCCTCCAGGTCTCCTTCTGGCGCCATCCTGCTTCCTTCCTTCCTCAGTCTCCTCTGCATCCTCTTCTCTTCCTGCTCAGCTCCACCCTCCCTTGGGTGGGGCAGGGAACCTGGAACCTCCCCCTTTCCTGGGGACCACCCTGTTACAAATCTAGACCAGTTCCTTCAGCAGTTGTGGTATTGGTTGGTAGTGGTGGTAGGGAGGTTGATGGAATTATCAGACTGCAAATATTTCAGCCCTACATATTTGGGTGAGACTTCTAATAAAATCATAGAATCTTAAAAATGATCAGAACTGGGCCTCCCCGGTGGCGCAGCGGTTGAGCTCTGGGTTGCAAAGCTGCCCACAGCCTCTGCAGCACCGGTTCGATCCCCGGTTGCTCCCTGGCCACCAGAGGAGGGTCCCACATGGCGCGCAGACCTCTCCTGCCGCCCGCTGCTCCCCTCAGCAGTGTACTTCGGTCCTTCTGCCTGCTCTGCTCCCCGCTCTGGCTCTGGTGAATTCTCTCACCCTCCCGCGCTTCTGACTGTACCCAGTGATTGTATAAATAAATAAATAAATCTTAAAAAAAAAAAAAAAAAGATCAGAACTTTGTCAATGCTCCATTCCACATTTCTAACCTATGGAAGTTCACCCCACCGCCCAATGTCCCAGTAATTATTTGGACAACTACAACTGCATGAACATAATAAAAGGCAATTTATTTCACTTTGGAATGGTTTATAATACATGTGAATGTGTCCATGTAAATGTAACATATTGATCCTAATTCTTTTCTCTGGATCATTATAAGTCTAATTCCTTTCACATATGAACTTTGCTTTACAGAATGTGTAAATTATCAGAACGTGTAAGTTGTCAGAATGTGTCATACTATATATATGGAAAACAGGGAACTATATTTGGGTATTTATTTATGATTGGTCAGTCATACTAAAGAAAAGTAATTAGTAGCACATTGTCAAGCTAAGAGCGAGGTCTCTAAAAGCATGACAAAGGACTCTTTTTTTTTTTCCTGTCCAAAAACCCCTCTATGTTTGGATTAAGTGATTGTTAAGCCTAGAGATGAGATAAGGCAAAAGAAGAGAGCTATGTTGGGTGACTGAATTCAATAAAAGTATTTATAGGGTGTAATCACTGGTTGAAACAAATACATTTTAATGGCAAAAGTGCTAAATTTCACAATTTTTCCAAAACTCCCTGTATAAACACAGAATAATACTGCAACAGGGTCAAGTGAGAAATAAATAAGGACTTTAACTGACCACTGACCGTAACCTCATTATGAGTGAATTATAGCTGTATTTGTATTTGAATAAACATACCCTCTAAAGCAAGTGTGGCCATAATTCCTCAGGATTTATGCTGCCCAGGTCATACAGGGAACCTCAGCTCCTGTTTTGGATACAATTTTGAGAAATGCTGACAAACTAAAAAATCTTCCAAAGAAAGTGACCAGAGGTTTAAGGATTGGAAACAACAAGGAAAAGAAAAAACAAAAAAAGCTTAACCCCAAACAGAAAAAGTCTTGGAGTGTGGGGAAGCAAAACGCTTTTCAGGAAAACAATTTTAGGACAACTTAATGGGGCACGGGGAAGGAGGAGGAGTATACAGAATTCAAATGAATATAAAGAAACAATACAAGAGACTGACTTGTGAGTTAGTAAGCGCTCATGACTGAAATAGGTGAAACCTGTTCATCAGAAATGTTTTTGGGGGACTCATGAATAGGATAGGAGGTTGAATTAAGTCAACTTGAATTTCTCATCCAAGTCCAGTACCTGATGCTTCAAGGACTGGTATTTCAAAACAGTATAGAGTTATAGCCTGATGGCTCTCTGCCTGGGGAGGAACATTCTATCTTGGGGACATTCTGTTGCTCTGTGATATTTGGAGGGAGGATTTCTCCTGCGTATGGTTAGCTTGTAGTCAGCTGTTACTCTGCCATTCTTTTTTGGACTATCACTGTGAAGCTTCCCTTTTTGGAAAGGGAGAAGGAGGGGGTTGGGGGGGTGTGGGTAGGACACAGAGGTTCTTCCACTTTAGTTCACTTCAGTTCCAGACATTCCTAATCTGTTAAGTCAATGTGAGTTTATGACTGAATTTAAAGGTTCAAGTTTCCCTTCCAGAGATGGGAGTGGGGGTGGCATTGGAACAGCTGCTAGAACTAGGGAGTGGCTAATAGCTGGAAGAAGCCAAACCACCATCTATCTGCTTTTTCAAAAAGAAAAAAGTGATTAGAGCAAGAGGGAATTGTCCCACCCCCAATACCACTCTTGAGCTGACACTTGGATCACCTCACTGGGTGAGGAGGTGAACAAGGGAACAGGTGCGCCTCACCCCTACCCTACTTCTCCTAAGCAGAGATTATCGTGCTGTATTCAGTGTGCCCGGAAGCAATTAATCAGGGCTAGACAAAGGATAGCCTGTGAGGACAGGAGGGGGTGGGATGGGAGGGGGGGGTGACAGAAGACTGGAGCCATGTATCGTGTACATTACAGATGACATCACTCCCTGAAAGAGACTCGGCCCTCCCCTTCCCGGAGCTGGAGACAAGCATGTCTGCGCGGGAGCAGCAGTAGGGTTGCTTGGAGGGTGCAGATTGGTGGCAGGAGGTGTGCCCGCGCTGGGGAGAGGCATGGAGGTGTGAAACGGAGACCTGGAGACAGGCAGAGAGCGAGGAAATCGCGGAGGCTGGAGGTGTTTGCGCGGCTTAGGGCTCCGCCCCCCGCTCGGCGCGGGTTCAGCCCTGGGAGGGGCACGCCTGTTTGGGGGTGGGGAGTGTGTGCACGAGGGGGTGGGCCCGTGGTGGCTGTGGGGGTGGAGAGCCGCCTGCGCATGTCAAGATTAACCGAGCACACACACCAACAGGGGGGCCAGGAGGAAGGCAGCTAGTCACCGCCACGCAGGAGTGGGACCCCGCACGATCCGAGGGCAAGCTCCGGGGAAGAGCCCTGCCCTGCGTGTCCACCCCATTCACCTCTGAGATCGTCGACTAAACAGGGGTGTCCACATCCTTCCCGACCCCTCAGGACCTCCCTGGGGATCCGAAGGCGGGTGTGGACGGCAACGTCGTGGAACGAATTCTGAAGCTCAGACGGGCAACCCAGAGCGGCTTGGGTGTGGGGGCACGCCCAGCTGGAGAGGCAGAGCAGGGCGGATGAAGCCAGAGTTCTCGGATCTTGGTGGATGCCGGTCGGAACCTAACTGGAACTAGAGGAGGTGAGATAGGAGGATCAACATGGACCCCTTCGACAGCCTAGCGGCTTAGAGGCAGCGGTGCGGCTCACTTTCGAGCTGAGCTTTCCCGAGGCGCGCACCAGAGAAGCTGCAGAGCAACTGGAATTCAAAGTTCCGGGGTGGGCGGGGAAGGTGCTGTCCGTGGTGCTGAGCCGGATCCCAGCAACGGGCTCCGGGGAGACCGCGCGGGGTTGCAGAACCTTTCCTCTAACTGGGGCTGTTCTCTAGAGCAGCTTCGAACTGCAACCCAGGCCAGCTCAAAGCCTCCCCTGGCAAGGGCGCTTCGCCCTTCTTTCAGTCAGGAAGTCGCCCCATTGGGGGGCAGTTCTTCCCAAAGCGTTTCCTCGAAAGTATTCGAGAGGAGGCAGTTGTTGACCTAGGGAATCTCTGTTTAGCCTTGAAGCCACCAGCAGGAAAAAAAGATGCCTGCCTTCAACAGATTGTTTCCTCTGACTTCCCTCGTGCTCATCTTCTGGGGTAAGTACCAGCACCCTGCCATGCGAGATGCAATAACAGTAATAATGCTAACAATAATAACACTTATTAATGTTGGTCACAAAAATGAGCCCTGCTTGACTTCCTTCTGTGCATGTTGGCCAGACATAGGGGTTCCATGAAAGCTGGGATTTTGAGATTGGAAAAATGCCTTCCCACTCTCCTGCTGCTTTATCCCTGAACATCCCTTGGTGACGCTCCCATTTCCTGATAATTTCAAAGTATTTTTCCCTTTCTCGTTGCTGAACCAAAATGCAGCCACCTTCATATATACATATATATATATACATATACATATATATATATATCCATTGCAGTAACATTTGATTTGGCAGTGAGGAGTCAGTTGGGAACCTTGCTGTGTCTTCAGATTTATTTATATATATTTAAAAAGTGGAGGATGCATTAATTAGAGAATGAAAATATTCTAGGTGTTGATCCATGTGTTTGATTTTAATAATGAATGAAAGCAAAACAGGTTTCAGCCATTTGCTGCTATGTATTAGATAAATGGGCACCAGGGAATTACATCTTTCTGCCTTTTTTATGAACATGTATTACTACAGTGCTTTGGTGTTTGGGGAGCTGGGATTTTTGTCTCAAAAAATGAATAGGTTCTTGCTTGCTTGCCTTCTGTGAAGGAGTGAGATGACCTTCTCCCTCCAAATAAGGGAATTATTTGACAAATAACTACTGTTACACTTGCAACAGTAAGCGGAGTGTTGTCAAAGATGGCCTGGTGTGGGGGCACCTCATGTGTATAGAGGGAGTTATGAGTCTATCTGATAATGTCTGAATGTGTGACTGAGAGAAAGCTTTATTTCTCAGCATCTGAATTTGTGTGCTATGTATGTTTAAGCATGCTAGCTATATAGGCATCTCGGTGGATAAGTGAGAATGTGTGTGTGTGTGTGTGTGTGTGTGTGTGTGTGTGTAGGTAGTTGTTGTTCTGTAGTTCTGGGCATCATTGACTTGAGGACTCTGATGAGATCCTTGGGTCAAATACAGGTATTCTTCAGTTGATATGTTGCTTTCTGTGATTTACCTTCCCCCACACTAAAAATCAATAACTAGGATAACTAGAAGTCAGTGTGTCCATCTGCCTTATTGAAATCAGGCATGTGGGACTATACTCCTATGGTTGGCATGAAACAGTTGGCCTGTGCAGTGGCAGATATGCTGATGGGAATTGCCTCTTTGCCTTAGTATCTCTATTAAGCTTTCAAGACTCACTTTGGCAGCCAACATGATCTGGATTCTGCATGGGACCAGAAGCAGAACCAAGCTTCCTGTTGAACAAAATGCATGATGAAAGGACACAACAGGAGAGTAAAGGCAGTCCCAAGGGCAGACTCACTGCCATCCATCCCCAGTAGAGTATCCCAGATCTGGAGATGAAGCAGACATAATAGGTTGCCAGTGATCTCACCTGCCTTGAATATCTAATGCTGGGACTTCCTCAGGGGAGGCAAATACTATGAACAACAGCATTAGGCAAGGTTAGTCTGACTGCATAAAAAGACTGTGAGTAAAGCAATGGTAGATGAAGTGATAGAGTTGGGGGGAGATTCCAGGGGCTTTCTTCCCAAGCCCTGATCTAAGTTTTTAATGCCCCTACCTGAATTCCAGTAGAGGGGGACTATAGACCAAGGATCTTTTGATGAAGACTTACAAATCATGAATTGGGGTCTTAACTCTGCTGCTAGCTTGCTATGCAACAATCTCAGAGGTTCTAATATGTAAAGTTTGGAAGCTGGTGCAGACAATGTCTAACAGCCCTTTCAGCTGCATAATTCAATGATAGGGAAATATTTAGAGAATATGGCTAAAATGGACAGAGTGCTCATCTCTCTCCTACCCCCAATCCCCCACCCAAAAAAAAAACCTTTGGAAGAAGTGTGCTCATTAAAACTGTTCTTGCTGGTTCTTAGCTTCCTTGTTACCTGAACATTAATTTGCCAAGCTAAAAACCAGCAGAAGGGAAAGAGATGGTTCAAGAAATCTTGTCATGAAATGTAAGAGAAAGGGCCTCACTCTACAGATGTAATTCATTTTATTTGCATGTAATCCCAGTATTGGAAAGCACTTAGCTTAGATGCATTCTCCCTTCCCAAGTGATTTTTCATATGGTGCAAATATGAATGGGGAGATCCTTTTATTTTGTATATGTATTGAAACAATTCTTTTTTCCTTTTATAAAGGTAATAATAACAGTAATCCCAATCCAATCCTTGCCTGATGCTTTATAGTTCACAAAGTAATTTTCAATTCATTACTTCTTTTGGTTCCATATTATTCTGTAGTCAGAAGTAGTATTGTTTCTAATTTATAGACGAGAAAATGAGCTCAGGCAGAGGAAAGGAGTAGCTAGAAATTGCTTATCTCCTGGTTTCAGTCTCCCGGTGCTCATTCTAGTGCCTTTTATGGATACATGTACTGCTGTGCAGGATTTTAGGAGGGACTTTTTCCCCTACATCCCCCACACCAGCCAATAACATTGCCATTACTAGAGTCTCACTCATTCCTTAGCTCCAAATGCCCTCTCTGCTCTTCTCCAGGTGGGCACTCCCAGATGTTCCCTATGTTAGGGAATGTTTTCCCCTCCTCCACCAGTAGCCCATCTTGCATCCTATCCTCCCCAGACTCTGCTCAGTGACTGGCTAATTTGATAGGCCCAGTTATTTCAGGGTGTTAATATCTATAAACAACATCATTTATTACCCTCTTTGGAAAGTATTTACATTCTAATCAAAGTCTTTATTATCATAGTGCAAAGGAAACATTTTAGAACAAGCTGAGGAGTGCCCAAAGAAGAGAAACATCTGGGGGCATCTGAGCATCTACCATCTGTCCAAGCTTTCCTTGGCTATCTAGAGGATTTCATACAAGAGAGACAGTGATGCACTGAAGACTTGTGGGGTAGAGAAACATGTCACCTATTGATGGAAAGGAGCAGCAAGTCATATTGCAAAGGGCAAGCACACAGGAATGAAAGGACTTGGGGGCCATTTTGTAATCCAAGATCTCACGAGCTGAGTTCTCATACTTTACAGAGCAGGGTGAGGGGCACCCCAAAAAAAACCCAAACCTTCCTGCTCTAAATAGGTTTTGCCAACATCAAGACAAAACATACTCTAGTGTGTAAGACCTTTAATGGAAAGGAATTTTAATACAATCTTTGAGCAACAAAGGCAAGACAAGGAATACAGTTTCCAAATCAAGCACCCTATGTTATCCATCCCCTGGTGGGTAAATGCCCGGCCAAACAAGGTTGGCCCAAAGCAGGGACACTGAGGCCCTGAAAGCCTGCCACAAGACTAAGGTACCTCCTGGCCGGGACACATAATAAAGGAGCAGAAGGGGCCCAGCATCTGGGACAGAGGAGCAAAATCAAGATAAAAGCTGCCATTGTGAACATCCCCACGGGTCTCTCACCACAGCTGTTTCAATCAGCCCAGGACCAAGAAGCGAGCAGAGCTTCTTCACTTGTCTCTCTGCTCCATAAGCCTCCTCCAGATCTCAGTCTGGCTCTCCATTCTTCCTCTTCCCTTCTGCATTCTTCTCTCCAGCTTCTCCCTTCTAGCTCAGCTCCACCCTTCCTTGGGGCAGGAAACCTGGAACCTCCCCTTTCCCTGGGGACCCCTGTATTACAATACCTTGAGGTTGGACTTTGACCTGAAGAGAAGTAGCAGGAGTTGCTCTCTGATGGTGCCTTGAATTATTGTCATCTCCAGGGCAACTCCAGAAACAGGGGACTCCACACATTGCCATGCAAAATTCACCATCCTGGCTGCATAAGTTCTGCCCTCCTTCTTTAACTATAAATGAACTAGGCCCTTCTATTAAATATGAACCCATTTACTTGTTCGCGAGTGCACATCACCTCTCATCTCATCAAAGACAGTTGTCTAAACTATTTCCTTTCAAATTCCAGTAGTCCCACTACTACCTCTGTCCAAGCAAAACCATCACTCAGAACCATCACTCAGTTTGATCATCAGCCTCCTAACTGTTCTCTTTGCTTCCACCCTTGCCCTTCTTTACCTCTTCACTTTATTTACAACATAGCTATTAGATCATGTCATTTTGTATAAATCAGGTTGTGTCCTTCCTCTGCTCAGATCTCTCCAGCCCTCCCTATGTCACTCCAAGCAAAAGCCAAAATTCTAGCTGTGGCCTACATGAACAGTCAGGGCCTGCACTTGATTTCTCTCTTTACCTGTTGCTTACTGTTCTCACTTGGTTTGCTCTACTTTCCACATTGTGCTTCTTGCTGTCTCTTGAATGTAACATGCTGCCACCCCACTTGCTATTTCCTTTGTCTGGCACACCTTCACACAGGTGCTGCCTCCTTTGTTTTGTTTGGTGCCTGCTCCTTGTTGCCTTCTCAGCGAGGCAGTCTCAAATTATGCTATGTACTCTCTCTCTCTTCTCTGCTCACTTTTATTTTTTCTTATAGCATGTATTACAATTTGATGCTGTTTATCTTCTCTCTTCTGCCTCTGCAACATAAGCTACGTGTTTTATTCCCAGTATTCTCAGTGCCTAGAATAGTGCCTGGCTCCGTATATTTGTTGAGTGAGTGAACAAATAAACACGAATAAAGTTCTATCTATTCAAAGCACATTCATATAAATTATTCCATAAAATCCTCATGACAAATCTTATATATTTTCAGCATTTTGTGGCAGAGAGGTTAAATAGTAGCTCAAACCCAGGCCTACAGTTCCAAATACCATCTTAATTCTGCCACTGTTAATTGTCACCGAGCATTTTTTCTATTTGGTTTTCCAAGTCATCATCTTCTAACTTATCTTTATCATGTCTAATTAAATAGGAGGGTGCCTGAAGGCTCCCTGCTACCGAGTTCTCGATGCACTCTGCCCTCAAACTTTTTTTTTTTTTTAAAAGATTTATTTATTTATTTATTTATATAAGCACTGGGTACAGACAGAATCGCGGGAGGGTGAGAGAACTCACCAGGGCCAGAGCGGGGAGCAGAGCAGGCAGAAGGACCGAAGTACACTGCTGAGGGGAGCAGCAGGCGGCAGAAGAGGTCCGCTCTGCCATGTGGGACCCTCGCCCGGCAGCCTGGGATCGAACCGGTGCTGCAGAGGCTGCGCGCAGCCTCACAGCCCAGAGCTCAACCGCTGCGCCACCAGGGAGGCCCTGCCCTCAAACTTTTACACAGAACACACTTTCTTTTCTTTTTCTAACCAGGTTAACCAAGACTTTAGACTCATCACATCCAAAAGTTGCTTTTGACCAGTTTTCTCTAGATGCACAGTCAGTCCATAAAGTAACCACTGATGTGCAGAAGCAGGAAATCCTCTCAAAGACTGTCCAAAGCAGCCCCAGCTTGCTTGAGAGTTTTCAAGCTGTTTAACTTTATTTTACCTTGATGTTTCAAGTTTTGCATTAATCATTGTGCCATAGTTTTTAAACTATGTTGAAAATTGAAATTTTTTTTGCCTTCTATGTCAGTCAATACAGTATTTCATTTTTGACTCAAAATGAGTTGATCGGTTTCATTTTAAACTTGAAATGTTTTTCTCTGTTTTTAGAAAGAACTTATCTGCCAATAGATGAACAGACCATTTGTAGGGAACTAGTTTTTAAATGACAATGGGTAGGGCCTCCCCGGTGGCGCAGCGGTTGAGCGCTGGGTTGTGAAGCTGCCCGCGGCCTCGGAGGCGCCGGTTCGATCCCCAGCTGCTCCCCGGCCACCGGAGGAGGGTCCCACATGGCGCGCAGACCTCTCCTGCCGCCCGCTGCTCCCCTCAGCAGTGTACTTCGGTCCCTCTGCCTGCTCTGCTCCCCGCTCTGGCTCTGGTGAATTCTCTCACCCTCCAGCACTTCTGACTGTACCCAGTGCATGTATAAACAAAAACAAACAAACAAATAAATAAATAAATAAAAAACATGCCTCTATAAAAAAAAAAAAAAAAAAAAAATAAATGACAATGGGTATTAGTGCTTTTTTCTTTAAGGAGTTTTTATTGTTAATTCAATGAAAGTAGCATCAGGAGGTCCTGACACAAGATGACCTTGATGGTCATGTAGATTTTGAATTTTCCATAAAATGAGGTATAAACCTCTTACCAAATAGCTTTGGTAGTGTGGGGTTTTTTTGGTTTTTTTTTTTTTGGGGGGGGGCACTCTCGCCAGTGGCTGGGGATCAAACTGGCGCTGCAGAGGCTGCGAGCAGCCTTGCAACCCAGCGCTCAACCGCTGCGCCACCAGGGGAGGCCCAGTAGTGTTTTTTTTTCCCCCCACATTTGTGAACATCTTCAGCACTAGAAAAAGTTTTTTTTTCTGAGTTAAACTTATTTTTTTTAGAACTTTTGGAGCTAGACAGAATCTATTCTCTCTTCCACAGGCCTGTCTTCAAATATTTGAAGACATATATGTTCTATGTCCAAACTAAGCAATCCTAGTTCTGCCATTCATTCCTTACTAGATGTTGTCTCCAGACCCTTCACCCTCTGGGCATGCACTCTTGTAAAATGTGACACCCTGAATTGATCACAGTTGCTCAGATTTGTTCTGAATTGTGCAGCAGAACTGTTCCTCCTTCGTTCAGCACATTATACATCTGTTAATGCAACCCACATTCACACTTGCTTTGTTGGCAGCCACTTCCCACTTTTAATTCATTATGAATTTGCAGTCAGATGTACTTGCCTTTTTTTTTTTTTTTTTTTTTTAATGGAACCTAAGTTTTTTGGGGCAGGAACTACAAGACCAGAGCTCAGGATGGCATGCATGGTGTCCCACAATCTGACCTCACTGCAAATTTTCAAGTTTGTCCCTCTGCTCCTCTGCATAGAGCATTCTTCCTTCCATGGTCAGCTCTCTATTTTCTTGTTGCTACTCCATACTCCACCATGTGTCAGAATTACCTACATTTTCCATAAAATACAGCCATGATGTCTCTCAGTGCTTTAAAAGCTTTATTGTGAAGTACATGCAGAGGCTTTCACAGCATGATCTGCCTTTCTAGCCTCACCATCCTCCTCCTTCTCTCCTTCACGCCCGAGTAAATGCCCCTTCTCTGTGGAAGGGCACCGGCAGCTAGGATGGCATTCACTGTGGTCTGTTTAGATCACATGGAGGAGTATGTGTTCCCTGCTGGTTATAAACACCCTTAGAGCATGACTGGTGTTTTGTTTATCCTTGAGTCTCAGTCTCAGCACAGCACCAGGCCTGGTGAGTGGATTTTGGTGAATGCTGGTTGCATGAAGGGGTGCATGCATGGACACAGATGGGTGCATGTGCACCCTACATCTTAAGTCTCTGAGAGCAGGACTCAGGTGTGTGCTGTACTGCAGCTCCCCCACTTCTGGGGAGGCTTCCAGTCCATCCTAGGTTCTCGCTGCCTGCTCTGCCCCACTTCCTGCTGCTCTGAGCACCTCTGCTCAGGGAGCAGAGGTGATGGTGCAGAGATAGATGTACATGCTCTTTTCAAGTTTGTCTCATGATTGTTTCTTCTCTGTCTCTGCTCTCTCCCACCTTGTTCTCCAATGCCTCTCCCTTCCCCCAAACCTCCCATCCCTTCCCTGTCACCCACCTCTCTCCAGTCAGTGTCTGCTTCCCTGTGTGTGTGGAGGTGCCCTCGGAGACGGAGGTGGTTCAGGGCAACTCCATGAAGCTGCGCTGCATCTCCTGCATGAAGAGGGAGGAGGTGGAGGCCACCACGGTGGTGGAGTGGTTCTACAGGCCCGAGGGCGGTAAAGATTTCCTGGTATGTCCGACTGCTGACTCTGGTCTTTTTTTGTTGGGTTCTGCTATGTGTGCCTGGCTCCTGGGAGTCTGGGGAGTGATGACCTGTCACACCCTGCTCTTTCCCTTCAAAGCACTGACAGCTCCTTTGCCTAGCGAGAACTGACAGACAGAGTTAGCCCCTCTCTGAGAAAGGAAGGGCCGGGGGCCAGCAGCAAGCATTCCTAGACACCTAGGGGAGGAGAACCAGATAAACTGTTAGGAGCCCAGGGCATGTTAGTTGCTGACGAGGCCCTGGCAGGCATTTCATCTCATCTTCTACACTCCCCTATTGCATGGATTAAATAAGAAAAATTGAAGTGAACACTAAGCATTGTATGAGCTATATAGCTTAGCTCGTTTAACTCTCACAGTTCCAGTGAAATGAGAGTGATAGGGATGATCAAGGATGACATTCAACTGGGACAGTGACATCGGTGGGTGAAAGGTTTGAAATGCTATATTGCCGCGGACCAGCACAGCAGTAGACGATGAGGCCACCTCAGGGTTGAGAGAAGCAAGAAATGACAAACAGACACACTTCAAGAGTGAAAATTTGAGTGTAATTTTCTTTGAGTTTGTGACCAATATATATATGTTTTCCAAAAGCACAGGGACAATGAATATCAATGAAATCAGCTTGCTCATGGGCTCAGTCTATCACCATCAGGGAGGTGATCTACATAACAAGCAATGACTTTTATAGAAGAAAGAAGGAAGTTTAGAAAGACAATAAGGGATTAAAGTTTGTAGTTCTAAAAAGATGGGATAAGATTTTTAGCATTCTTGTAGTGGTTCCTGGTGGTCGTTATCTTTTGATAAGCTTCTGTCTTTTCAGGGAACTTCCGGCTGTACTTACTCTGCTTCAGGGTGTTATGCTGTTCTCCTCCTGCACGCTGGTTGCCCAGCCGGACCTAGGGACGGTTAGCCCTAAAGGTCACTGCAGGGCCTCCCCGGTGGCGCAGCGGTTGAGCGCTGGGTTGCGAAGCTGCGCGCGGCCTCTGCGGCGCCGGTTCGATCCCCGGCTGCTCCCCGGCCACCAGAGGAGGGTCCCACATGGCGCGCAGACCTCTCCTGCCGCCCGCTGCTCCCCTCAGCAGTGTACTTCGGTCCTTCTGCCTGCTCTGCTCCCCGCTCTGGCTCTGGTGAATTCTCTCGCCCTCCCGCGCTTCTGACTATACCCAGTGCATGTATAAACAAAACAAACAAAGAAACCAGCAAACAAATAAATAAAGCATGCCTCTATAAAAAAAAAAAAAAAAAAAAAAAGAAATGGCACTTTAAAGGTCACTGCAGGGGGAGGTGCAGCACTATATAGTGGACATTTGCTGTGCCAAGTTGCCCACCATCCTTCTGAGCAGGTCTGGAGAGATCTAGAAACTAAAGCATGGGTCCCCGACAGAGCCAGGAGCCTCCGAGGCTGTGCAGTGGGCAGCGTTAGTTCTGAAGGTTTGGTGCCAGTGCTAGAATGTTTGTCACATAATTTGAACCCCACCTTGGGTGGGGCTTTCACTGACCCTACAGCCAGGCTAACTGGGTCTGAGTTTTGACTCCACAGATTGTTTCTATGTCCTCAGACCGCTCTGTGCTTCAGTTCCTCCTCTCTAAAGTGGCAATATAGCTACCTTACAGAGAGTTACCAGGACTCATGTGCTGTAACTCTTAATGCAACCGGTTCTGGAATGTAAAGACACACACACACCGGCACACACACATGCGCGCACATGTGCATGCAAGTGAGGCCACTGTGACTCAAAGAAGTGAAGTTATTAGTAAGACAGCTTAGATTTGAACCAGGTGGCCTGACAGCAGATGCAAGTTCCTTTTTACCCCACTACCTCATTTTCCTGGAGGCAAGAGTATCCGCCACAAAGACATCTAATGGAGACAACAGGAGGGTGAAATTGAGTTTTGCTGCTCTTCCGCCTGGCTTTTGTAAAGCTAACGCATTTTTAACTTGAGGCTGTATGTGCCCTTCTGAACAGAGGTTTACCTCCATCAGGGCCAGACCTGGATCACAGAGGCTCAGGCTTGACCATAACCAAGGCTAGTTATAGGTGACAGGATCCTGCATGTGTTGTCCAGATGTGAAAGCCCCCAGGAGCATGCCCACTGCCTACTCTGCTGCCCAAAGTGAGGAGAAATGCAGCTTAGAAGGAAGAAAAGAAACTCAGAAATTGTGCTAGAAATACAGATGATGCCGTCTGAGAGAAAGGGCCGTGTACCATACATGTGATGTCCAATTCCAATTCAGTAGCCACTGGCCACATGTGACTTGAGAGCACTTGAAACATAGCAAGTGCAACTGAGGAACTAGATTTTACTTTTTATTTAATTTCCACTAATTTAAATTTTAATATCAGTCATCATACATGGCAAGTGGGGGCTAGGCTGAAAAGCTCAGCTGCAGGAAAAAAGGGAGTATCAGAAGGTGGAAAAGGTAAAAGAAAAAAATTTAGTCCTCATTCAGTCCCAAAATTAGTCTTAACTCAGCCCAAATTCACTGGAAGGGGTATGTGTCCGTGGGCAGCGCCCTGCTCATCTGGGACACTTTAGGGACCTGGATCCCCTTCTGGGGGCCTGGCCCAGACTGCCCACCTCCTCTGAGTGGGGACCAGCTCAGAGGGGCAGGTTTGCAGGCCAGGGCTCCAGATGCCTTCATGACCAATGAAACTGCCTCTCTTGGCCTCTGTACCTTGTTTCCCACTGGCCGCTGCACCACATCTCTTTCTCCTTCTCTCCCATCAACTTGCTACCCTTTTTCTCAGTTCCTCCCCGTCCTGGTCTCTGCACGTCTCTTCTCACTTACCTTTGTTCTCCTTTCCACTTTTTCTTTTCTGCCAAGCTTTTTTTTTTTTTTTTAACTATTTATTTATTTATTTATTTATGCAAGCACCGGGTACAGTCAGAAGCGCGGGAGGGTGAGAGAATTCACCAGAGCCAGAGCGGGGAGCAGAGCAGGCAGAAGGACCGAAGTACACTGCTGAGGGGAGCAGCAGGCGGCAGGAGAGGTCTGCGCGCCATGTGGGATCCTCCTCCAATGGCTGGGGAGCAGCCGGGGATCGAACCAGTGCTGCAGAGACTGCGGGCAGCTTCGCAACCCAGCGCTCAACCGCTGCGCCACCGGGGAGGCCCTGCCAAGCTTTTTCTTGCCTATTCCTTTCTGCCTTTTTCCTGGCTATATGCATAACTATTGGCCTCTGCCCATTTTCCCTGACTTGTCTCTCTGTCCTGCCCTCCTTTGAGCCTTTTCACTCCTCTCTCCCCCAATTCTGAGGTACTTGTAACTCTGTCCCCTTTGCTCATTGTCTCCATCCATCTCCGTCTACCTCTCTTGCGCTGCCTTCTCTCCTGGCCCTACCTCCTCTGCTTCTCTACCTGCAGATCTATGAGTATCGGAACGGCCATCAGGAGGTGGAGAGCCCCTTCCAGGGACGTCTGCAGTGGAATGGGAGCAAGGACCTGCAGGATGTGTCCATCACGGTGATTAACGTGACCCTGAATGACTCTGGCCTCTACACCTGCAAAGTGTCCCGGGAGTTTGAGTTTGAGGCACACCGCCCCTTTGTGAAGACCACACGACTGATTCCCCTCCGAGTCACCGAGGAAGGTGAGATGGGGTTTCTAGGGCACCCCGATCTTGGGGAAGGGGGCCAGTGGTTTTCCACAGAAATGAGACCCTTGTAGAGCATAAAAACCCTTATATATCTAAATGTGATTGTCTACAGCTTGGTGATCTCCATGGACCTGTCTTCCTTTTGTAGCCAGCTTCTGGCAAACTACCCAAGAGCATGTCTCTTCTCAAAGCAGAAAGGCATGGAGATAACAGTAGTACGACTTCTCCTGGTCCTTTAATTCTCATCCTTTGAAAAAGAGCATGGCCTCTGAGGTCAAGAGGTTGTGTTCAACCCCTGACTCAGTGGGCTCAGAGAAAGCTCGTGGGGTTATCTGGAGGTCATCTACCCTCCTGTCTGTAAGCCATCCATAACTCTGAGCCAGTACTCAAATGTCGGCATGCCTCAAAATCACCTGCAGGACTTCCTAAGACCCAGTTTTTCTGATTCTGTAAATGGACCCTGAGAATCTGCATGTCTAACAGACTGCCAGGAGATGCTGGTGCAGCCAGGGCCACGCTCTGAGAACCACTGCTCTAAACCCATGCTGCATAGCCTTTGTCGTCTGATTTCCTCCACAATCACCACACAAGCATCTACTATCCCATTCAAGGCATAAACTCATTGTTAACTGGGAAAAGGTGACAAGATAACTTTCCAGTCATTATTTTAAAAATCTTCAGGTTGCCACAGTGCCTTGTGAGGTTGGGGAGTCCTATCATGGACCTAATTCAAAAGTTTCTGTTGTAATCACAGAATCTTCAGGGTGAACCTAGAATGTTCTCTGCAGTTCCTGTTCTGCTTTCGATGGGCTCAGAGAACTGTGGTCCCCTGCCCCTCGCAAATGTTCCTTCACCTGATGGAAAAGTGATGCACACATCCTGTTTCCTCACCCACGCCAGATGATGGCTCCGCTTTAGTTGGCCTTTCTCAGTTTCTCAGGCTATTTCCAGCAGACTAGTCCGCCTTTCCCCAAGATGCAGGGTAGTGATCAGGTAAAAGGAATGGGGCATGAATGAAGATATCCATGAAGATTGGATCTTCCCAGAAAATGACTTCCAGGAATCCTGACTTCCAGGCCACAAATCTATTTATTTCTTATGGAAGACAAAGCAGTTGTGATGTAGCTATGGCTGAAACAGACAGTCGGTCAGTGCTCAAAGTACAGAGGACTCTCAGGCTCTTTGAATGTAGACCTGATGAGCCACTTTCCCTCTCCGAGCCTGTTTCCTCTTGTGTAAAACGCAGGAGTTGGACGGGAGTTCTCTAAGGTATTTTTCGTTTCAAAAGTTCCATTAGCCTCCTCTGTTTACTCCCGTCTCCTCCCTGGGGAAGGGAGCCTGGCGCCCTCTACTGTTCACCTTCGGGAACTGTTGGCTGGCGACTGCCTGGCTCCCAGGGAAGGTGCCTTTCTGTCTCCATCTCCTGCTCTAGCAGGCTTTGGTCTCCAGACACTCTCAGGCAGCTTCAGCTGGTGGAAAGTGTGGCCAAGCTGAGCCAGCCCGCCTGCTGGGCACCAGACCCAGACTTGGGTAAGAATAGGAAGGAAAAAAGTTTGTTATCAGGACCGCAGAACCTTCAGGATGAGAAGGCTGGAAGGAAGTTTGGCTCTCATTTAATCCTGGAGCAGACATCACAATCACCCAGGCAGCTTTCCTCCAGTGTCACCAGCTCCACCACTCTTGCAGTGTGAGTTTGGTGTAATGACTCCCTAGGTGACTGGAGGTGCAGCCCTGGTTCCCCTCATTTTGTGGCTGGGAGAACAGAGCTCTGGAAGAGGGAAGGACTTGCTCAGGGGCAAGAAGCTGGGTAGCACCAGAAGCATGAATACAGCCTGGATCTTCTGCCTGCCAGGCCACCTCTTGTTCCACTGCAGATTTTCCTTCTACTGCCATCCCGCTGCCCACCACTATTTTTCTTCCCCTCCGTCCCTCTCCTCCTCCCCCCATGACCCCTTGATAGGCTCCCCAACAGATACCCACTGCTCATACATTGCTCAGAGCGACCTTCTCCACATGAGACACCCCTCCATGTCTCCTCTGTTCCCGTGGCCCCAGAGACTCCCTGGTTCTCTGTGCAAGTTGAGCACCGATTAAGGCTCTCACTTCCTGAAGCTAATACAGAAACCTGAGGCCTGTGCACTGGAGGTGACTAAAAATACTGAAGGCAGCTTCCTGTGGTGCTCGCTCTCTCTGGGCTGTTGCCTTTGAAACGAGATAGTGTGTTGTCAGCCAAGCGTGTCACACACCAGTTGGCAGCGAGCCCAGGAAAAGACATGTGATGTGCGTGGCAATCCCCTGTGCCTCCGCCTGCATCTCTAGCCTCCAGCTCCATTTAGGAATCCTGAACAGTCTCATAGTCCTTGGACTGCTCTGAGTTGAAGGAAGGTCATGGCTGGCTAGACTGAGCTTTTAATGAGCAAGGCCTGAGGGTGACTGGCCCTCATAAATAACCCAGGACCACGAATCTAATTTGTCTCTGGGAGCTGGCAAGGGAGAGGAGGTCAGGCAACCTTCTTCCCATTAGGAAGGAATATATATCAGGATGTTTGCTATGTATCATGTTTTAATTGTCATTGTTGTTGGTTGAGGAACAAAGATCAATATTTATTTATATTCATTCATTCAACAACTACTTATTCAGAACTTACTGGGTACTTCAAATATTCCAGGATTAGACAACAGGCTGATAATGCAGAAGATAAGTTTGCAATAAGCACACAGTCAGGAGAGGAGAGAAACACATCACAATATAACCCGAAAAGGATTACTATGAGTGAGTGAAAAAAGTACAGACAAGGATGTGAATAACCTGCCTGAGCAGCTGAAGAAAGTTTTGCCAAGGAGGAGACTTTGGTGGAGTCTAGAAGAATGACTGGGAGACTGAAAAGCAAGTGGGAGTTTGGGAGAAGTAGAAGTAGGGGATGAGATACAATTTTGGGAGAGGGAAGTGAAAGAGGGAACGTCCAGATTCTAAAAGACCATGGTGTGCATGAGAAGTCCTTGCAGGCTAGGGGGACGAAAAAGAGGTGACAAGGCCTGCACTGTGACTGGCGTGCTTACCTGTGACTAAAACTTAGGCTTTATTCTCAGGGCAGCATAGAACACCAATAAACAGGGACATGGCAGGACCAGAGGGTTGTTTCAGAGGTAGATGTCTAAGGATAGTCTGGCATACAGAATCCTCCAATATTCTTTTCAGTTTGGATTTGGGATGACCCGGAAGAAAAAAGAGCTGGGAAGGTCCTTATTTCTAATGCAGACTAGTAGAGGGCACCTGTGGGCCCACTGCATTGACCCTGTTCACCTTTTCTGATGCACTTTCCTTAGGGATACTGCCCCACCCACCAGCCTAAGCTCAGAGACACAGGCAGCTGAACTAAGAAATGTTCCTTAAGTCTGTATAGACTTTTACATCTCACAGTATATTCTTGAACATATTAGCTAATATAATGGTGTGAATTATTATCTTCCTTTTTACAAATTAAGAAACTGGCTGGGAATTATATGGGGACTATAACCAAGATGAAAATGCATACATTGTGCAAAAATGAAAAATGATGTAAAAAAAAAAATATATATATATAAAAAGACAAAATCCAAAAAAAACAACCCTGAGTCTCAAATAAAGGAAATGACTAGTCACATACAAGTAATCAGAAAAATTGGACCCAGACATGTGTATGCATGCCCTCACTCTCTTCCAGGATTCCTTTCACTGCCCTAATGCCTCTTCCACTATCATCCTCTCATTCCTCTCTCCAAGCATCTGATGACAGTGAACTAAGGGGCTGACGGACAGGAGAGTCAGAGGATATTTATTCCTTTGACACCCTCTTGAGTTTTAGACTTGGTGCTTATTTAAGCTCTACTTCAAAATAGGCCTCATGTGTCTCTAACCCCAATGGCAGCTCTGGGTTTGATGGACATGCACATTTTGACCCTCATGATCCCCCTTGCAGCTGGAGAGGACTTCACTTCTGTGGTCTCAGAAATCATGATGTACATCCTCCTCGTCTTCCTGACCTTGTGGCTGCTCATTGAGATGATATATTGCTACAGGAAGGTCTCAAAGGCTGAAGAAGCAGCCCAAGAAAATGCGTAAGTCGAAAGATGCCAAAATGACAGCTAGCACCTACAGGTGAGGTGCTGGAAAGAAATTTATATAAAATTCCACATTGCCCACAACCACCTTTGAGGTAGGCAGCATTAGTAGGCCTATTTTACAGATGAGAAAACCAAGCCTGGGAGTGTCTGCCCAAGGCTATTATAAGAGGCAAAGCAAGGTTTGAATTCATGCTGCTAACTCTTGGCCTGCACTTATCGCCACCAGTGTTAAGCCCATCAGCTGCCACCACAATCCCACAAAATTAGCATTATTATGACCATTTTGTAGACACTGAAGCAGATTCGCAGAGGTTAAGTGGCTAGCCGAGGCTATGCTGGTCACGAGGGGAGCCATGGGACCGGAGCCTAGGTCTCTATTAGTAACATCCACATGCCATCACACCCAGCTGTTCACTGCAGGCGGTGGGGCTTATCTGGCCACAAGGGCACTACCCTGTATTAGTTAACCAACAAGTTCTTTCCTCTGGAGCTTGGGATTGAATACCCAGAATGTAGGCTCTGAGCAACTAATGCCCAGGCTATCCCTTGGCCATTTTCACCAAGGTCCTAGTCACTCACGAGTGAGCACCAGTGAGAAAAGGTGGAGTCCAAGGGTCTAGAGATCATGCTGGCCTGTTACTTGGGGGAGAGGAAAGAGAGAAAGGAATCCTCACAGATTTATAAGGCTAGCAACATAGCTGAGGTAATAACCTAAATTAAAAGCCCTAGGCTATTATTACCTCTTAGAAATGTCTTTAAAAATAAAACAATCATCATTGTGCATACTATCTGTGATCTCAGGGAAGTAAAAGATACAACTGACCAGCTAGGATGATAGGAGCTCGATGCTAGGGAAGAGGACATTCCTGGTGGCCCAGATGCTTAAACTGGTAGTATCCACACTGGGACAGAAAGTGCCAATAGTGGGACCTGCCCAAGAAGCAGAGTTAAATGGAGGTCCCAGCAGAGCCAGGAGCCTTAGAGGGCTACAAACCACACAAAGGGGAGAGCAGACAATAATCAGTCCCCCAGCCCAGGGAAAAGTTAAGGAAATGACCATTTGGCCCAACTCCAAGTAGAAACACAAAAGATCCTTAAAAATTAGTAACCATAAGCCTACACTCACAATGTTTGGGACTTAAATTTATCCTACCCACATAATCCAGGAACCTCTCATCTTAGAAATTCAATCAAATAAAATGAGTCCCTAGTCAGTGATAACCACAGAGAAGCAAATGAAAAACCCACCTTCAGCTGAGGCTAACCAATTCCCCAGATAAAGCACTACAGAATCTGATGTAACAATCCAATCCAAAGCTAAAAGACATATCAGGAAAGAACCCATCATGAGTCAGAGAGGAACATGGCAGGAATACATCCTGAGAGGTCAGATACAAAAAAGAACCTGAAAGAATGTGGAACACAGTTTAAAAGACTTAAAGCAATAAAAGAATGAATCAAAAGCATAGCAATAGAGTAAGGTGCTAAGAAAAAAGAACTGACAGATTTGAATAGAAATCAAAGGGAAAAAATCTGGAAATGAGAAATATATAGTCAATAAAATTTAAAACAACAGACTGATTCACCAAAAGATGAGATTACCTTACAAAGATAAATGTAAGAAAGTTATACAGAAAGAAGCACTGTATGTGCTGACAGGATAAATACATAAAAATCTAAACCTAAACACTAACCCTCTTTATTTTTTTTTTTAAAGATTTATTTATTTATTTGTTTGTACATACAAGTACTGGGTGCAGTCAGAAGCACGGGAGGGTGAGAGAATTCACCAGAGCCAGAGAGGGGAGCAGAGCAGGCAGAGGGATGAAGTACACTGCTGAGGGGAGCAGCAGGCGGCAGGAGAGGTCTGCGCCATGTGGGACCCTCCTCCGGTGGCCGGGGAGCAGCCGGGGATCGAGCCAGCGCTGCAGAGGCTGCGGGCAGCTTCGCAACCCAGCGCTCAACCGCTGCGCCACCGGGGAGGCCCCAACACTAACCCTCTTTAAATTGATAAATGGCAGTTACTAAAGATATCCTGTAGCAAGTATCTGTGTATTGCAACTTTAGAAGAATTGCCTGTCATATTAGAAATATGTGAAAGATACTATTCTCTCTGAATCTATTCAATAATGTATTAGAGAACCTAGGTTATCTATTAAGAAAATACAAAGAAAAAGATACAAATTGGAAAAAACTAAATTATCATCATCATACCCAATACAACTACTTAAGCAAAAATCCAGGGGAATATAGAGACAAACTATTAGAACTATAAGAACATTTCACAAGACTGTTGCTACAAACGAAAATATCAAAATGTCAAAATCACCAACATTTCTGTTACAAAAATTAAGAAAAGCATGCAAACATTAAAATGTTAAAACAAAAAAAAAAACAATCACAATAGCAATGAATACTTTCCAGTGCCTGGGAATAAATTTGATAAAAATGTGCAAGATCTTTAAAAATAAAATTACAAAAGAACCACTTGATAAACATCAGCATAATCCCACATGCATTGTCAGATTGTCTCAAGCTCTTATGTGATTTTGAAACAAGATGATTTTCCAAAAAAAAGGCGGGGGGGTGGGGTGGTGGGAATGAGGAGCTATAAATTAGACGCAGGACAATCTCTGATCTTTATAAATGGAAATTTATCAATACTACCTAGTATTTCTACAATAGAATTTTCTTAAGACAACTAGGAATTAAAAGTAAATTAAAAAATAAAATCACAAAACTTTACTGAAAGATTTAAGACTTAAATAAATGGAGAAAACAAAACTCACTATTACAAACATGGCAATTCTCTCCCAAATTTATCTGCAAATTCAATGAAATTTTGATCAAACTAGCCATTGCATTTTTCAAGAAACTTGATAAACTGATATTAAGTCACATGGAAGGGGGCAAAGGACCAAAACTAATCTAAACCAAGGGAAGACCAGATAGTAAATATTTTAGGCTTGCAGGGTACTGAGGGTCTTTGAGTATTGTCCTTTGGTTCCATTTCTTTGCTTGTTATGCTTTAAACAACAACTTAGCTCATAGGTTATAGTTTACCAATTTCAAAGAAAAAAATAGGGCCTCCCCGGTGGCGCAGCGGTTGAGCGCTGGGTTGCGAAGCTGCGCGCGGCCTCTGCGGCGCCGGTTCGATCCCCGGCTGCTCCCCGGCCACCGGAGGAGGGTCCCACATGGCGCGCAGACCTCTCCTGCCGCCCGCTGCTCCCCTCAGCAGTGTACTTCGGTCCTTCTGCCTGCTCTGCTCCCCGCTCTGGCTCTGGTGAATTCTCTCGCCCTCCCGCGCTTCTGACTGTACCCAGTGCATGTATAAACAAAACAAACAAAGAAACCAGCAAACAAATAAATAAAGCATGCCTCTATAAAAAAAAAACAAAAAAAAAAAACAGTGTATTTAGAGGAGGTGGCTGGCAGAACTTTTCCTATTAGATATGAAGAGTTCTTAGAGAGCTATTAAAGAGTCCATACAACATGGGCAAATGGAACAAAACAGAAAGCCTCCAAATAAGTCCATGCATAAAAAAGACTCATGACAGAGATGAAATTACAATGACTGAGGGAAGAATGAAGTGTCCAATAAATGGTACAGAGACAATTCATTATCTGTACAGAAAAATAAGATGCCTCACATCTCACACTAAACAAAGATAAATTGTGAGTGGATTTAAAGATGAGGTAAAATACGAAACTTAAGAACTCTATTAAGGCATATAAGAGAGTATTTCTTTGAAATAGAGAGGATTTCTTAAAATACAAAAGGCACATGCCAAAGATTGTTAAAGATGATCATTCTCCTTGTATTATAGGTAAAAATCATTTGCTCTTTACAAGAATCCATAAGCAGGCCTTCCTGGTGGCCTAGGGGTTAAGTCTCAGCACTAACATATCGACAGACAGCCTGAGTTTGATCCCTGGTGGGGAGCTAACCCACGTACAGAGCAGCAGACCTCTCCTGTCTCGCCCCCTGCTCTCCTGAGCAGTGTATTTCAGTAAATCCACCTGCTCTGCTCCCTACTCTGTCTCTGGTGAATGCTCTCACCCCCTGCACTGCTGGCCTACACTCCAGTTATTTTACACAAAAATTGGAAGAAAAAAAAGAAGAATCCCCAAGCAAAATTTAGAGACAAGCAGATCAAAGAAAACTCAGTGAGAAAAAGAGAAATATCTCCAAAGAAAAACTGGCAAAGCAAATGAACAGGGCCTCCCCGGTGGCGCAGCGGTTGAGCGCTGGGTTGCGAAGCTGCCCGCGGCCTCTGTGGCGCCGGTTCGATCCCCGGCTGCTCCCCGGCCACCAGAGGAGGGTCCCGCATGGCGCGCAGACCTCTCCTGCCGCCCGCTGCTCCCCTCAGCAGTGTACTTTGGTCCTACTGCCTGCTCTGCTCCCCGCTCTGGCTCTGGTGAGTTCTCTCACCCTCCCGCGCTTCTGACTGTACCCAGTGTATGTATAAACAAAACAAACAAACAAACAAACCAGCAAACAAATAAATAAAGCATGCCTCTATAAAAAAAAAAAAAAAAAGCAAATGAACAAATGATAGAAGTAGAAATCCAAGCAGCCTATAAACTTATGAGAAGATAATCACAGAACTGAAATCAAAGCAACTATAAAGTGTAATTTCACACCCATCAGTTTGATCACCATTTTAATTAATTATTTATTTATTTATGTGGGACCCTCGCCAGCGGCCGGGGAACGAACTGGCACTGCAGAGGCTGCGGGCAGCCTCTCAGCCCAGCGCTCAACCGCTGCGCCACCAGGGGAGGCCCAGTTTGACCACCATTTTAATCCAACAATACTGAGTACTGAGAGCAACGGTGATACATGAGAAGACCTGTGCTCTGCTGCTAGGAGTGTTCACATTCAAATATGGAGGCAAGGGCCTCTGCTGTGGCACAGCGGTTGAGCGCTGGGTTGCGAAGCTGCCTGCAGCCTCTGCAGCGCTGGTTCGATCCCCGCTGCTCCCCGGCCACCGGAGGAGGGTCCCACATGGCGCGCAGACCTCTCCTGCCGCCGCTGCTCCCCTCAGCAGTGGTACTTCGGTCCTTCTGCCTGCTCTGCTCCCCACTCTGGCTCTGGTGAATTCTCTCACCCTCCCACGCTTCTGACTGTGCCCAGTGCTTGTATGAATAAATAAATAAATCTTAAAAAAATGGAGGCAAAACACCGCATTACCCTAACCCGCTGAAAGGGTTATTCTACTTTTCTCTTGGGAAGCACAGGCAGAAGTATGTGCAGAGCTATTCTGCAGACATCCCTGCTCCTTTCCCATGGGTTCAAAAGCACTGATTCTCTTCCCTCATGTCCCCTCCTACAGGTCTGACTACCTAGCCATCCCATCAGAGAACAAAGAGAACTCTGCGGTGCCAGTGGAGGAATAGAAGAGAAGGGCATGTTTAAGGTGAAGTACAGTGAAGGTGAGAGGAAGGTGGATAAGGAGGGCAGGTTGTGCAGAGACCTTTCACCTACAACTGAAGAGACTTGAAATTCCGTCCTTTAGCTCAGCGTCGACCCTACCCCGAGTCCCCACCTGCAGGGCCCTACTTTAAGTTGCCCAAGTCTAAAGCTCCATGTGTTGTCAAGGCTTTCGGAAGGTGAATTGCTAGGGTGTGAGTACTGGGGCAGTTTGAATTCCTTACGTATAATGACAAAGGCAAAATAATTCAATCCCTCCCTTTTTTAAGGGTCATGGATTTGGTCAGAGTGTTGGGCTGGGCTGGGCTGCACTGGACATTCTCAGTGAGTTGTTTTATCGTTAGTAGGTGGCCTGAACACTGAGGGACTGGATATTCCAGGTTGAATGATGTCAGCAGCATCAGGAGGGCGCCCCAGGGGCCACATTGCTTTCCTTCATCAGTCATCCTTCTATTCATTCACCAAAATCCACTCACCTCTGAGCTTTTTCACCTCTGACTTCCTAACTCCACCAGACTTCTCCACACCATGAGACTTTGCCAGAACTGAGGAGCCAACATTTCCACATGGACTCAACCTCACCCTGTCTTAGTTTTCATGCAAGCAGCTCCCAGGCCAGCTGGACTTCTGCCCTGTGCTCCAAGCGTGACTGTGTACAGTGATGGAGGCGGCGCATCCCTCTGCCCGCAACTGGCTGGATACGGCTCGTTCTCTGTTGCTTCTAGTGAATGGATGTCTTAACAAAGGAAGCAGAAGTGATTAGGTTCAGGTTAAAGCAAAAGTGTCATGAACTGGAATTCTGTGATATCAGCTATTCCAATTTCTTGGCCCACTTGGCTACACCATCAGAGCAAAGCATGCCCCCCACCCCAGGTTCCCAGCGACAGAAAGTCACTAAGTATATGGACAAGTACCAAGAACTCCAAGGCTAGATCCTGACAGGTCTCTAAGACCTGGATTAGTCTCAGTCCTTCAAAAATCCAAGGACAGAAAACTTGGGAAGGATTGATAGCAATTTAAGTGGCATTTAAAAGTCATACCGTATGTTTCTGATCCTATGGAGTAATATATCTGGGCCCTAGAAGGTGCCCACCCAAGATAGCTGGGAGGCATAATTTTCCTGTGGACATGAGAACTAAGATTTCTAAGTTCTTCCTCAAAATTCCTGTGGATCAGTATTATTCCTCGCTTTACAGGAGGCAACTGAGAATCAGACAGGGCTCACCCGAGTAAGAGTAAGAGACTTCAGAAGAAAAACCGAAGAAGAGATAATAAGCCTCGGGTGCTGCTTCCCAAGGTGGGCGATAACTGCTTGTGCAAAGACTTTGACATTGAGCTTGGCTAAGCTCATGTCTCTCTCAAAGCACAGGCTGGCTTGGATTGCCTGACTCTAACTCTGATTCATTCAGGGAACTAGAAGCTGGTCAGGCAGAGAGAACTGAAGTCAACTTGCAGAATTTCCTTAGTGAAAAGATCTGTGAATCTGAGATGCTGAACTCTCCAGGAGATGAATCTGGGAATGATATTTAAAATAAGTCACTAGTTTTTATCCTGAGATGGGTGATGAGCAAATGGTAAAGTGATGGGAAGGGGTGGGCCAGGTGGCTTCCAAATAATTCACTTGTGAATCTAATAATGTCTGATTTCCCCTCTATATGCTGGGAGGGCAGAGGAACACTGGAAATAGTTTAGTCCATATCCCATGTTTCATATTGATTGACTAGTCAAGGTGTGATGTCCTTTGGCACCAGTGATGAGAGAAAGGAAGATTGCTTTCTGGGAGACAAGATGATAAAAGTGACGGAGACTTGATGAGTGGGATGGTCATCAGATCTGGGGGGAATCTGTGGGGAAGATCATGTTCTGTTGGCTTTGGGCCTCACCTGATGAACTCATTTCTTCATCTTTCACCCTGGAGAAATACTTGAAACAAGTCCTGGTCCACATATGCAAGATCCAACTTCATTGAAGAAAAGATTTTCCATCAATTCAAGGCCCTTCTCATTGTTAATTTAATCCCATTGAAATAAGGGACAGAATAGAGACCATCGCTCTCTGCAGCTAGGAAGATGAGCCTGGATTATGGGTTCCTCTGGGGTTTTTCCAGCCATGTGGCAGGCTGACTGCAGAGCTTGCTCTAGAAGCAAGCTACTTACCACCACTCCTCCTTCCTCTTGGTTCCATTAAAACATGTATCTAGCTTGTAATGCATGAACCTCTTTTTCCTTTTTAAGACGCCCAACTCAGATGTGATTTTAACAAAATTGAATGGTAGCTACCACTTTTCTTATTTATCCTTATAAACAATCTTCTCTATTCTTTTTTCCCCTAACTTCTCAATTCCATTCTTCATATTTTCATTAGAGCTGTATGATTTATATAGCAATGTTTCAAGTACCATTTCTAGCCCTGTGAGGTTGATATTACTCATTAGCATGTTACAAATGAAGAAACCGAGGCTCCCAGAGGTTCAGCAGCCTTACCAAATCCTAAGTTCATCTAAGTGGTGAGAGCTGGAACCTGGGCTTTGTCACGCCTAGCCCATGCTCTTTCCATTCAGACCATGGCTGCTTCCTTTGCTTTCATTTCAGTTTCCATCCAATCTTTGCCTCTCTGGTTTGTTGGAAAATGTTCAATGTTTCTCACCTCTCATCCCAGGCGACTGATCCTCTAGGACTTTGCTTCTTGGTAGATGCTGAAAGTGTGCTTTGAGAGTTCATCTTGTTTTGTTTCCCCTTCCTAGTTGGTTTGTACATCATTTCTTCTGAATTGCTTAAACTCCTTCCTGGGAGACTTGATCATGACTATAACTCTACAAGGTACTGTGATCACCAGCCTACTTCAAATCTCCACCACTTCCCTGTTTCTCCCATATTCCTACCAAGAACCCAGACTACATATGCATTACTCTGGAAGCGCTACCTGGCATGCTGTTCTTACTAAAGGGCTTAGAAATGTTCTCAAGGGCTATTCTCACTTGAGGAACCCCATCTGTTGTCTTGGTGCTGGGTATTTCCCATGACTGGTCCTCAAGAACACAAGTCACTAATGGCCAAGCTAGGCTGGGTCTGATTTTCCCTCTCCTGCTGCTTAACAGCCATGAACTTACTTGTTCAACTCAGTTGGCCCTGTAAGCACCTTGCCCTCTGACCTTTACTGTCCGTTCAATCTTATACCACACCCCTGACTCCTGCATGGAAACACCTGACCCGTGGCTGTCCCTTTATCTTCAGGCTGTTTAAAAACATTATCCTTTAGTTTTTCCTCCTACAAATATCCATACAGCCAGATTTCTGATTCTCTGAGTTCCAAGTTTCTCCTTCCATGACAAACTAGAAACATTAGTGGGATTTTTCTCAAAGCAAGAATATCCTGGGAATACATGTACAGCAGTTAATGGTTAAGAAGAGAGAGTAGCTCCCTCCACTCCCTGTAAAATGACTAGATCAAAAAGGGAAATAAACATCCCTGTCTGAGATCTGTGAACCCACCAGACATAAACCAAGGGAAGATGCTGTGTAACTGCATCTTTGCTGGAAGAAAGAACTAGGCACATTTCAGCACATTGGCTTTTTTCCCCAGGTTAGCACAGAAATGGAAAAACAAATCAAAGCCTTCCTCTCACCTTTTGTAAATTAAAGCTCCCTAATCGAGCGATGTCACTGAGTCACTGCAAACATATCTAGTGTGCCCATTACTCTGATCATCCGCTCATTCTACATTTCAGTGCCCACTCTGTCAAGCACTAATCTAGACCACCCCTTCACCCCCCAAAGTGTGCCCCATGTTTCTAGGTCTGTAAAATACCATCATTCCAGCCTTTCTTGATCTCTCAAAATCTGTGGGCACTCATGTTTAGCCCGCCCCTCCGCCGCCCCCTTCAAGTTTACAGTCAGGCCCAGTACATAAGCATGCAAAGCAAGTCTGAGTTATAGATGAGGCTTAACCTCTCATAGGTCAGCTATTCTCAAAGCTGGTGATACTCCATCTGTTCTCCCTGAGTCACTAATTGGCAAGAACTGCATCTTCTGGGCAGCGTGTGTGATGGGGTTGGGAGGCTGCTGAAGGGCAAGTGTTTATAGATTTGTGAAACAGCATCAAACTCAATTAGCAAAATCTTTAGTCTTGCCAGTGATGGAACTCTTTCCCACACTGTTGCCGTCATATGACTTTTTCTTGATTTCCCACAGCCAACCCTTTTCTGAACTCTACAGATAATATTTCTGAACACCCAAGTTCTCGACAACTATTGGTTTGTCCTTAGTGTTTACAGGAAACTCCCTGTTCATGTTAATAAAGTGTCTCTAAACATCTTTTTCCAGTTTTGCTTTACTTACTCGGTGTGGCTGCTACGGACACTGTGGCTTCTACCTACTTCTACCTGTACCAGCTCCTGAACTGACTATATCCCCAGAGAATTAATACAAACATTTAATAGTCTAGAATTGAACATGATAAATGTATGGCCCAGCGCCTTTTCTACTTCCGTTCCCTACTCACATACAAGGTGTATGAGAATCACCTATGGTTCTCACCTCCCTGACAGCCAACAAACTTCCCAGCAGGGGCAGGGGCTAGCTTCAGGAATACCAAAGGAGGGAGAGGCCCCACCAGCTCTTGCTCTACCAGTTTAGGTAACACAAGACAATACAGCAAAGGTGTTTCTGCCAATGCCCAACTCCCTGCAAGTGCCCAAGGAGCCAAAAAGAACAGTTCAGGGACTCCCTGGTGGCATAGGGGTTAAGTCTCAGTGCTTTTACCGCTGTGGCCTGAGTTCAATCCCTGGCCAGGGAGCCAACCCACACACCTCTGCTGCTCCCCTCAGCAGTGTATTTCAGTAGATCCACCTGTTCTGCTCCCCACTCTGTTCTGGCAAACCCTCTCACACCCCGTACCTCTGGCCTACACCCCAGTTCTATGCATAAATACATAAATATTTTTTTTAAAAAAGGAAAAGTTCAAGTAACTGTCATTAGGATTCACAGTCCATCATACTCTTATAATATTAATGAATAATGAAATAAAAATTATCTTAGTGCAATGACCACCATATTCACAGATTTTTTTTTTTTTTTTAAATATCTCTAAAAAAAAACAGGCTGGGAGTGATGAATGGGCCCATGATCACACAGCTGGTAAGCAGTGATGCTAACCTTTGCCCTCAGTCTAATTCCAAATCTATTCCACTTCAGGCTGTCGCCCTCTGCCTCCCCCGCAAGGAGGTCTTAGATTTCAGGATGTCCGTGAGTACATGGATAAGCGTGGTACACATCTGGGAAGACCAGAAACATTTGGGGTGAGCACTGATGATTCAAGCAATAAACACACACACCATTTATTATTTGTAGTTCAATACTTTTTCTTTTAATTCATACTGTACTTCCGTGGGTCTAGCTACTTACATTAAAGATTTGGCTGGGAAGCCTTGTATGTTTCTAGGTACTAGCAGTAAGTTTCCAGACCTTGCGCACAGCGCCAGGCAGAGGACAGTTACAGTTCCCAACACAGATGGCCAGACAACTCAACTGCAGTCAACCTGTGTTCCTTCCCATTGATGGCCCAGTGCAGATTTGGGGCTCCTCCTTATGCCTCACCCCACTCCACCCCATGTCAGGATTGCCCAGGGACCACTATGGCCTCTGGCCCATCCCTCCCCACCTCGGGGTCTAGGTTGAGTGGGGAAGGGGGGAAGCACCATGGGTTTGGGAAGATGGTCTGGTCCATGCAGAGAGTGGTCTGGCCCTAGAGTGCAGGAAGGGGAGGCGTGGGGAGCCACACACTATTGTTGGCAAAAATGGTTGCTTTGACGATGCGATCTCAGCACATGGCACCCAAGCCCAGGGCCAACATTCCAGACAGAGCCAGCTGTCTTGCCTGGAGCAGAGGCCACCATTTTGCTTCTGCAGTGTCTCATTGTGCCGAGAGAAGCAAGGGAGACCAAAGGGCAGAGATGACAATGTTCTTTCCGCCTTCACATGTTGCGTAGATCGTCTGGCATCAGCTCCTCTTGGCAGGCCAGGTGCTTCTCCCCAGTGGCCAGGGCTCCAAATCCGGGCTCCCAGGCCTGCTGAGGACCTCAAGTCACAATAGAAAACAATGCCCAAGACCCCTGAGTGGTCACATAGAACACCAAAACAGGGAGCTGGCTGGGCCCGTCACAGCCATGGTCGGAGCAGGAGTGAGGTAACGAGGCCGGGCAGAGAGGTGGGAAGGGGGTCTCTCTACACCGTGTGCAAATTCCTGCTCCACAGAAAAGCAGGGACATTAAAAGGTGGCCTTCCAGAAAAACGCTCCGCCCGGACCCAAAACACATCTTCTGGAAGAAAACAGAGGTGGAGAGGAGTGGGGTCAGCCTGCTGGAGGTTTGGGGATGAGGGCCAAGAATGTCAAGTGGTGAGTGGGGTGATTGTCCCACAGCCTAGAGACAGGGGCGGGGGGAGAGAGAACTAGGAAGAGAAGTGCTCAAGTGTCCTACTGGTATGGGCAGGTGGAGTCAGGGATGTGGCAGGGAGACCACAGTCCTGCCACCCAGGGAGAGAGAACAGTGCTATTTCTCCTGCGGGGGAGTGGGGGGGGGTCCAAGAGGAAGGGCTGGCTTTGGCTGCCCTGCAGAGCTAAGGAAGCAGTAGAGTATGGCACAGAAAGTATCCTTCTGAGTCCACAGATGGCCTAAAAAGATTCTTCCTCTAGTTCTGCCTCTAAGATTTCAGTCTAGAGATGGTGCCTGTGAATGTATTAGACATAGTCCAAGCTTGGGTGGGGCATAGGGAGATGGGGAGAATCTACATCTAGCAAAGCATTCCTCCTGTGGTTTCCTGGTTCTCCCCTCTCCCTGTAATCCCTGCTCTAAGGCAAATCAAGATGGTAGCTAAGGTTTCACACCTATTTCCAACCCCATCAAGGTTTTGACTGAGCCAAAAGACATGCTAGAACCAGAAATGACTTCTCTCCACTGCTACCTCTAGCAAGGAAGAAGGATGGACAGATAGATGAAAGGCTTCTTAGCCAAGGATGAAAGATGGCTCAGTCCAAGATGGTGCCTTTCTTGCCATTATCCTCCTAGTTCAGAAAAGATCCAAATGACGGTCTCTTCCCAAACTAAGACGAGCCAACTGAAGGAAGAAATGCCTTTCTAGGTTAATACTGAATGAGTCTGATCTCCCTTCCTCGTCCTCATCCCCACTCCCCTGCCCCAGTGGACAACTGAGAGCTGTAGACATGACTGACCTCTCCAAGGCCACCTTCTCAATTACTCCACTGTAAGTGGAAGTTTAAACCCTGTAAGCTGTTCTTTACCTGGTTAGAAACTTTGTAAATTATTTCAAATGGAGTATAAACTCATCAATGTTTTGCCACATGAATCCTCACAGAAAAATCCCCTATGTGACTTGAGTTCTTAGGTGAACAAACAGAAAACAAAAGAGCCTGCTGGAAAGAGCTAGCCTAAGAGGTGGTGGTTCTGATGCGCCCTTGCAGACAGCTCCAGGCCAGGCAGCTGCAGTTACCATGAGTTACCATGTCATTTATGGGTTTCCCTGCAAGGCTGAGCTCCCTTCTCTGGCAGATTACTGAATAAGGAGAAAACACTTTTGTCTGGGACTGAATAGTACTGTTGGGTTTTTTCCTTGGTTTGAAAATCAAACAACTATTTGAATAGAGAGTGCCCACAAGGGATCCATAATTCTTAGGCATCAGGCAGCCTGAGGGGCACCCCCAAGGTGCACCCATTGTTTCCTGGGTTCAAATCACCTGAAAGCATGAGGGCATCCTCAGACATGATTATCTTCCCCTCCCAGTTACCTGCTCCCTCTGTGAATGGTCCTGAGAATAAAAACGAAAACAGAACAACTCTGCATAGTTGGGCCCGTGGGTTACACATCACTTTGCTCCAAGCAAAAGAAAAAAAAAAAAAAAAAAAAAAAAAAGCCATCCCCAAGGGATGGGACCTTTAATAACTTAATAATTTAAATAAATAAATAGTTGTCTATGGAATAAATTAGTGGTTTTGCCTTTTTTGCTTTCAAAGGTGTTGGGGAACCACTATGGCCTCAGGCTACTAGACCAGCAGGGAAATTTCTAGCAGTGTGCACCACTCCTCCTTTGGCTGGTGAGTCTTGACCCTCATACCAGAACCACAGTGAGTGGTGGTGACCCACTGGCCTACAGGCAGAAGTACTCATCACCAGGTTGACATTCAACTGCATTTCCTTACTTCTCATTTCCTAAGGGAGGGATATTAATTTTTGCTGACCCAGCAGCTATTCTACTCCCTGGGCAATGGCCTGGGCAGTAGGTTTTTGTCCTCTCTTCCTGCCTTTGAGCAACTACAAGGCTGGATCCTTAGACTAAAAAGTCAAGAACTTTTCACTGCCAAGTGAGATGTGCAAGAGAAGCGATTTCAAGAGAAGAATACAGTTTGTTCTTTTGGGGTAGGTCATTGATAACTTTCCTTTCCTTCTGCACCTTCTATCAAGAGGCCCCACTAGAAGACCAAGCAATCTGGGAGAGCTCTCCCTGCCAAACTGGCTTTCCTGATGGAGAATCTCCAGGCGCTGTGCGTGGGGAAGCCTTTGGAATGCTCTGGCAAGGATTCCAGGGCCATTCTGTGGAGAAATCGAACTGGTGTATGAAGGATGATGGATGTGCCCAGAAGGGCCCCAAGAGGTGAGACAAATGCTCAGTTCCCCAGAGCTAACCTCCAAAATGGATGATTCACTTTCTAGACCCAGGACTTCTTTCTACTCCTGAGTCATCTCCTAACTCTGGGGTCAGACGCGAGAGAGGCTTTGCCTCCTCTGCTAGAATTCCCACTGTAAGTCTGAAAAACTAGAGACGTGGAATAGGGCAGCTTGGGGCAGCAGAGAACGCCACCTGGCTTCTCCTTGCCCAAACACATGTACCTTTGCCAAATCCATTCCCTCCAAGGGCTTAAGACTTCCTCTAAGAGCCAAGAGCCTCAGACAGTCCTTGAAGAAAGCTGGCCCTTCACTGAGAGTAAGTGACGGGGCAGCCAACCAAGTGCTCAATTCCTGATGCTCCCTGTCCACCCAGCACTCTGTGCTTAGACCCTGCAATCCACACATTGCCTGGGCATCCACTCTCTCAATCCCTAGAGTTCCCAGGACACCCTGGTTCACCTGGAAATCAAGCTGGCAGCTCAAAGTGAAGGATGCAGAGCCCCCAGAGCTGACTTGCTTATAATCATGAAAAGAGGTTTAACAAGATCAAAAATGCTCCACCCTGGCTAATAAACAATGTGCTCTTAGGGCACAGAGGAAAAATAGGACTTTAGGCACTAAAAAGTGACACTTCGCCCAGATCCAGCCTGGGAGAAGACCAGAGAGAAAGGGGGAGGGCAAGTAGGAAATTCCCAGCCCTTATTGGGTCCAGCCCCTACACAGGTGAGAAGAAGGGGGTGATGGAGAAGACCGTCCCATATACGAGACCTCAGGAGCCTACAGCTTCAAAACACAAAGTCACAAGCGCAGCCTTTCCAGCTTTCCCACCAGCCTCTCCACCCGACTCTTGGGGGATGGTCCACAGGAAGGGGGCGGCCTGTCTGGTGGAGTTTAGATGGGGCTCCTGCCCTTGATGCTTCCTTGTTCACAAGAGAACATCTGGAGGCGTGGGGTCGGGAAGAGGAGATTCTCTTCCATTGGGGAGACAAATCAGAAGGGGATTATTAGGGAATGAAGCACCTGAAGCAATGCCCCCTTGAGGCTTCTTTTCAAGACCCAGGGTCTTCACAGGCATAACTTTGGCTCAACAACATTTCCCTTCTCAGAGCCAAGAATGGCCAGCGAGGGAAAGGGCGGGGATGACAGGAGGGGGAGGAGGAGGGTCAGGGGAGGTCGGTGCTGGGAGATGGTCCCTGCCCTCCTCGGCCCCTCCACCGACCAGCACGGGGGCGGTCCCGCTCCTTCTCCCTGGTACATAGGCATTATCTCTGTTTAAAATCTGTATATAATATATATATATATTTATATTCTGTATATATATATTTATATATATTTATATGGTCTATGTACATGTATTGCACAGGCCTCTTGCAGCCACCCCTGCTCCTGCCTTGTCAGTGATAGCGGTTCCTCTTCTCTTCGCTTTCTGATGAGTAGTCACGGGACCTGATGCCATTCTGAAGGTTGATGAGTGAGTCCTTCATCTGTAAGACAGGTTTGCTGCCTCAGTGCCCTTCAACCCGCAGTGCCTACCACACCCACCAAAGGCTCCCTGATCATGCCAGAGAGCTCCAGGGAGCCAGGCACCTAAAACAAGGGCAATTCTTCAGGGGCACAGTCCCAGGCAGAAAGGGGATGGTTGATCTAGCACTGGAGCCCCAAGGGGAAGGTCTGCTGTGTCCCAAAGAACTGTGGGCCTGGTTCCACTGAATTAAGAGTTCTCGCAAAGCATCCACCGCACTGAGGGGCTACCAGAGATGGTCTTTTGTCTTCAACTCATTCAGTGTGGTTTCCCTCCTGATCCTGAAGACACTTCTCTCTCGTCTATTCCAATCTCATCCATTTATTAAGACCCAAGACAAACCCAAGCTTTGTGTGCCCTCCAGCACCTCTCTAATTCCTGGCCTCTCGTGGACCACTCACTGGGGCTCATGTTGCTTTGCATCTCCAGCGGCTTTGCTTCGTGTGTGCTGGGACTGGCACTGTCTCTTAGCCCTTCCTTTTCTTTTTTTTTCTTAAGATTTATTTATTTTTACAAGAACCAGGGTACAGGCCAGAAGTGCGGGAGGGTGAGAGGATTCACCAGAGAAAGAGCAGGGAACAGAACAGGCAGACTGACGAAATACACTGCTGAGGGGAGCAGGGGGCAAGACAGGAGAGGTCTGCTGCACCATATGGGAATCTCCCCGGCTGGCTGGGATGGAACCCGTGCTGCATAGGCTGCAGACAGCTTTACAGTGTGGCACTCAACAGCCTGCACCACCAGGGAGGCCCTCTTATCCCTTCCTTAGTATGCCCTGGGTGCCAGTAGAGGACTGAGTAGGCTCCTAGTTGTACCTCTCTCACTGAAATAACATTAATTGGATTCTGTACCCTCTTTAAAGAAATGGACACATTAACATAATCAAGACATGCAATGGAGTTAAAACAAGGGGGTTCCAGTGGTAGAATCCTAAAGTGGGCATGCTATCACAACACACAGGTATTGCTCCCAAGTAAGGCGCTGTTACAACACAGTTAACATTTCATGGGAGAAGTATTATGGATTTGAGGACCTCTGGTCTCTCTGCCTACCCTATACCTTTCTTCTCTGTCTTCTATAGTCTCTGCTCAACAGGGGAGGAGGTTTCTATTACTCTTCTTTTATGTTACTTTTGAAGGGAATGAAATAGAACACCTATCTCTATGCTTGTAGAATCTACCATGCTATAAATCTTACAGCCCCCAAGTGGCAACTTAAGGGATCTCACCCTGAAATAGAATTCTAGAGTTGGAAGAGAACTGGCTCATCCAGTGCCTTATCTAACTTCACCCCCTGAACACTTTCAGTGCGTCTCCGTTCTCCTAAGTAGCCCTTTCCAGTGTGGGGCAGATCCAGCCAGAAGTAGTTATGCTTTTAATTTATGGCTCAAAATCTAATTCCTGTAACATCTCATCCTAATTCAATCTGTGACTTCTCACTGTTCCTCTAACCCTTCTTCTACCTCCTGGGCCTCAATATCTGAAGACAATTGTACTGTCCTTCCCCCACCTCAAATCCCCTCCCCCTGAGCAGATCTTTCCTTTCCATCAGCCCTTCTTGAGTTGACAGGATGTCCAAATTCCTCGCTGTTCCAGTTACCCTCTTTGGGTTAAAAACTGCACTCTTTACACATGGGTAGGGCTACCCGTGATTCTCTAGACATGTTCAACTGGATCCTGAGAGCTGCATTAAAAGTCTCTCTCCATGGGGGCCTCCATGGTGGCCTAGGGATTAAGTCTCAGCGCTATCACTTCTACTGTCTGATTTCAATCCCAGGCCAGGGAACATGGCATAACAGACTCTCCTGTCTCACCCGCTGCTCCCCTCAGCAGTGTATTTCAGTCAGTCTGCCTGTTCTGCTCCCCAATCTGTCTCTGGTGAACCCTCTCACCCCCTGCACCTCTGGCAAAACAAACAAAAAAAAGTCTCTCTCCTTGATTCAAGTTAAGATCAAACTAAGAAGGGCAATAAAATTTAATATTAATCAATGTCTCCTAGGTACCATCAAATTCTGACAGCAGTTTCTTGAAGCAAAGATTACGATTCCCACTTTAGAAAGGAAGATATGGAAGCTCACTAATATTAAATCTCTTGCTCAAGGTCACAGGACTAGTTAGTGGCAGGGTTAGGAATGCATCTTAGGTCTGGCTGACTGCAAAGCATCAGGGTGATACATCTTTTGGAAAAGGAATTTGAAGATAACAGAACAAATCCATGGGCTACGATCTTCTTAATCTTCTTGCACAGAAAAGGTAGGTTCCTGCTGTCTTGGTAACCACATGGGAGCTATTCTAAGATGTTTGATTCTTCTGGGGGAAGGAAGAAACACCTTTCCCTAATAAAACTAAGCTAATGGTTGATTTTACCCCAGGGTAATTTTCTTAAATAGATACATCTGAAGGAACACAGGCAACTATAGAAGGAAGATGTTATGAAAAGAAGACACAGCCACCTTTCCAGAGTCTCAGTACTGCCTCTGAGGAGAGTGGAAGGAGGCTGCATGTTGAGGAGAACATTTTGAGGGCGGGGGAGCAGGGGAGACACAGGAAAAAGAATTAGAAAGTCATTCCCTCAGGGAAGGTACATTTCTATAAAAAGGGAAATTCTGTCATTAAATGTCCCTCAGATGACTATGGGTTACCAAGAAAAAAAGTTCTTCCATCTCACCAAGAGCATCCTCACTGCACACCCAGTGTGTTACTTCATCGTTATTATTTTGGGGACTACACCTGTGCTTCCAACAGCACATTCAAGGATGGCTTTAAAATGAGAACAGATGGCCTAGCAGAAGAAGGAGCAGAGGATGAGGTGCAGCAGCTGGTGATGGGCTGTGATCATGCTCAGAGGCCAGGTAAAGAGTCCCGTGACCGGAAGAGGGCAAGAGAAGGTGGGGAAGCTCACCTGGTCAAGAAGCATCACTGAGGATTTGATGATTTCCCTCCATTTTTGAAGCTCGGTATCATGGTACTTTTGTTGGGACTCTAAGAGCTGGGCCCATTCTGTCTGAGACTGGGGTAACCTGTGGGGTAGAAGAAGGGGTGCCCCGGCAGCTGGAGTTACGCTCAGTGGACTGTCCTGTGCTCCCAGACCCCTAAAGGACAGAGAGTCACATCAGAGTGCTTTGTCCTCAGCTCACTGTCCCCCCAGCCAGAAGCAGATCCAAACTATAGGGCTAGTTTTCAGAGTCTGCCTATGGACTCATCCCAAAGGGTTATCCCACAGCCAAGGGTAGCAAGGCAGTCGCAAGGAGACGGAGGGAGGTGCCAAGGCAGCAGGGGTGCTGGCTGGGAGGGAGGGAGTGCCAAGGGGAAGAAGCCAGGATTACCTTTCTTGGAGCCTCAGACCCTGCCAGGCAGTGAGGGTCTGGGTGGTGTATTCCAACATCCAGAGTTTGTAGAAGAGCATCATGTTAAGGATGACCAGCAGCACCAGACTATGAAGGAGACAGAGGGAGAAAGCAATAGCAATGAGACGCCACCTGAGAGAGCATGCTCCCCTTAAGAGGCAGGGAACCCCCCAGCTCAGAGGCTGCTCTGTTTAGACACTGGGTCAGCAGAAGCATTGTGGTGTGAGAATCAGTGAGCCAGAGATGCAGCAGGAGAGAGAGGTCAGAGAAAGAGGGTCATAGCAGGAGAGCCGCAAGGACACATGGCGGGTGAAGCCAGTAGAAAAGAGACATACACACAAGTCACCCAGAATCTGGGTGCCTGGGGTAAGAGAGGTAAGATGGAGAGGAAAAGAGTTGGGGGCGGTGGTATAAAAGGAGCAATCATAGAGCCAGTACCTGAAACAGATCCTAATGGGAGCAAGGAAAAAAATGGGAAGGAGGCAGAGATTAGAAACAGACTAAAACAGGGGACGGGGAAGCTGCCTGTAACGGAGCCAGGGAAAAGGAAATGCTAGGAGTAAAGACACAACGGACAGAAGACCCAGCAGGGAAGGAGCAGGAGGAAGCAACTGAAAACACACCTAGTGTTTCAAGGGTGAGAAGTCAAGCTAAGTTCCGCCTACCAATCCACCCTTAGGACACAAGTGAAGGGTAGAACTGCAGCTGCAGGGGGAGTTCTAGTGCATTCCCAGCCCAGTCCAGGCGCTTTCCAGACATTAGCTGAGCTGCAGCTGCCATGGTCTAGCAGGGCTCGCAAGGTTTGAGGGAGGTTTCCCAGGGATCAGCCAGAACTGGTCAGAGACTGGGAGGACTTAAGGAGAACGCAGGACCGGCAGGGGGTGCAGCTTGCCCAAGAGGCTGGGTACATGCACTTGGCCTCAGGGCTTCCTGAAGATCATTTAAAGCAGAAGCTCATGGGATGGACACGGGGAAAGCAGGGTGCAGAAACAGACAGGATGGGGAACAAATCCTGGCTCAGCACCGAGGAGTTTCTTGTCCTGTGGTTAAGTTTCCTAGCTTTGCTGACACCCAGCTTCCTCAAGAGGCTAATAGGTACCCAGCTTGGGTTAAGGGCTCATGAAGAAGTGTGTGTGGGTGAAAGCTCTGGGCACACGGGGGGCCCTTCAGCAGTGCCTACCATAAAGGAGGGGGGTAGAGACACACACAGGAAAAGAGATGAAAACATGAAGGTAAACCACAAAGATGGAAAGACCAACAAAGAAGGGAAACCTCCTGTGCCTTCAACTCTCAGGATGTGAGCGCCTGTGCGTCTGATGCTGTGTCTCCCACTTGTGTTTCTGGGATGGCAGGGAGTGTTCCTCAAACTGGCAACTGCCATTTTCTGGGTGCCATTCTCTGGGGCTACTCAGCCATGATCCCGGGGCTCACAAGTATCTCTCCATCTGCTGCATTTCACTGACAATGCCTTTTAACAGCGTCAGCACACACAATTACCAGCACCCCCACTTCTCAGCATATGCTGGGTGCAATCTTAGCACCTGCATTTGGGTTTGTGTTGACCATCCTATGTCCAATGAAAGTCAAGGGACCCCCCCCTGCACACTGTTGGTGTGGTCTGAGCCCAATTACCATGCCAGTCAGGGAGGGGGACCTGCCCTGCACCATGTGCCCCAGGGGCACGCTCTGGGCAGACCCCTGCCCAGCCCTAGGCAGTGTGGAATGATGAGGTCTGCTTATCCCAAACCAACAATGCCCCGCAGTGACTTGGCACCATGTGCCTTGGCTGATTCAGTGAGCAGGGCTTCTTTCTTTGTCAAAACACAAAAGAGCTTAAGCATAGAAGGACCCTGAGGCTGGAATTTTCTATCTGCCAAACCCAATGTCAGAGAGCTAGTGTGAACAGAACAGTGGTAAAAATCACAATGAGTTATGGTGTTCCATGTGAGTTTTATTGGCTTTACAATTGCCTTAATGTCTTATTTTGTAAAAATATCTTGGCATCTTACGCCAGAGGCAGAATATACCTCTACTTCCATGGCACGCACTTGAGTGAGGTCAGCAAGAGTCCTCCTTGCATCCTTCACAGCTCCCTCTCCTTTCCCGGGGCTGGTCCCCAACCCCTCACAAGATCTTCTCACCTCAGATGATCTTGTCTACACCCACGACTTTAATGCTTCCATAATGAACAGAGCAACAGCAGCCCACACTTCTCTCCTTAGCTCCAGGTCCACACCCACCAACACCCATCTGTCACCTCCACCTGGATCACCTATGGCAACTCAGACACACCTGGAACTGACGGCATCTCCTCTGGCAATCTTTCCCCAAGTTCCAGACTTCTATAAATGACACAGCCACCATGGACTCTCCCACCAGTAACTCATCTCCCTTTGCTCCAGCACTAGATGAGTGACAGTCCTTCCCTCCAAGGACCTCTCAACTCCTCCTCACCTGAGTCGACAGTCATCTCCACCACATCACTGCCCTAGTCCTTTCTCCTCTAGTCCAGTCACCACCTAGTGGTCACACTGATTTTTTTCTTTGTTAATGCAAGTCCACCATGTCATGCCAGGGCTTCCTTCAGTGTTTCCTGAGGTTGGTAAAGGCAAGGCTGTGCCCCAACTTTTGCCTCTCCAAAACTGCTTTAATGAAGACCTGGAGGCTGGGAGTGGGGAGATGCTGGTCAGAGTCAGCATCTAGACAACTCCACTCCCCTCACCCCCTGGGCCTCTCCCTCTCTCAGCATATCCCTGTTGAGGAAGGGTTGGACCAAGCAGAAGAGCTGTCTGTAGTGAGCATACCAGCTCCCTGCTCCAAAAGGTTTACAATTGGGCCTCCCCTGGTGGTGCAGCGGTTGAGTGCTGGGCTGCGAAGCTGCCTGCAGCCTCTGCAGCACCGGTTCAATCCCTGGCAGCCGGCGAGGGTCCCACATGGTGCGCAGATCTCTCCTGCCACCCGCTGCTCCCCTCAGCAGTGTACTTTGTCAGTCTGCCTGTTCTGCTTCCCACTCTGGCTCTGGTGAATTCTCTCACCCTCCTGCACTTCTGACTGTACCCAGTGCTTATACGAATAAATAAATCTTTAAAAAAAAAAAAAAGGTTTACAATCATCCTGAGCTAACTAGGGGCTTCAGAGAGCTGTGCTCTCCCACTTCACCCCTGCATTTCTTTCAACTTCTTTTCTCTTCAGCCTAGTGTTTTCCTGTGCATGTTATCAAGTCTACTGTTTTACAAAGTTGCGGCATGTACTCTGAATTATTTGTAATAAAATCAACGTATGCTTCTCCAGGAAGCACTGGTTTTGTCTGACCACCCTGCCAAATTGTGGGCCAGGAGCAGACGGCGCCAGAGCGTCTCTCATAGTGAGGGCAGGCTCATGAAAGGCGCTGCGGCACCCCTATGGGCAATGTATCCAGTGCTGTGGTTTTGAATTTCCTGCCTGTCTTACCCACTTGAAGCTGAGTTCCTGAAGGGCACAGGGGTTTCAAGCAGCACTCTCTTCTGAAAGCTGAAGGCCTAGCATGGAGTAAAGTCTGAATAAAACTGAGGAAAAAATGAAACTGAAAGGCAAGAAATGACAGCCAGAGCAACTGATACAGAGAGAAGACCAGAGCATGAAGAAAACAAAAACAAAAAACCAGGCAGTGGTAAAGATGCTCACAGGCCTGAAGAGACCTGGAGGGTAGGAGGTGGCAGGCAGGAGGGCAGGGTGAGGGCAGGGCGGTGAGGGCAGGGCCGGCAGAGAGCCTGGATTCCTTACACACAGCTGATAACCAGCAACAGCTTGGACACACTCTGCAGGTGGAAACCATTGGGGGCGTCCTCGGGGATATGCCGTGTCTGCGTGGAACCTGTGGGGAGAAGAAAAAGGTCTTCATCAGCATGGCCCATGCATCCCCAAGTGCTGATGTGACACTGGTGTTGCGCAGAACTTCAGGGAGTGATGAACTGTTCATGGTGCTGTCACATCATCAAATGAAAGCTACTCCAGGAGTGGAAGGTAAGCTCCTCAAGGGCAAGGTCACTGGCTGGGCAGGCAAGGTGAAGAAGAAAGTCACTGAAGAGAGGAGGAAACAGGTTTGTGCAGCGAGGACACACAGAGCGGGACGAGTTGTCTGCAGCTGTGGAAGGGAAGCAGAGCGAGTCAGCACTCAGCTCTGACTTTATCCATAACTGGCTATGAAAGGGTGGGCAAGGGCTGAAAGTTCTCCGAGTCGATTATTCCAATATAGTGTTAGTCAAACACCCTCTCAGTGAAACATATGCATGGGAATGTTCTGGTGGAAGCTGGGGGAGGAACTTTAATGCTCCTTCTCTTCCTCTGCCTCCACTCCTATTGCCATTAAGCTCTGAAAATCACCCAGGGGCGGCAGAGCACAGTTGAAAAAACACTGGATTCAGCTGATCTCTAAGACCCCGATCACAGGAGTCCACTGCCTGGTGGGCACATCCTCGGTGGGCCTGTGGGCCCAAGAGAGGGGTGGCTGCTTTGGATCCCCTGACCTAGTGTTATGAGGTAACCTCTGGAGTCTGAATTTCGGCTTCTCCCTGGGGCATCTCCCGTGAACTTGGGAGTTATGTACTTGAGATAACGCGGGTAGCCAAGGAGTACAGACATCATGGAGGGACAGACTTGAAGGTAAGGTAAACAAGAAAGGTAACCGAAGGGTTCAACAGGGGTTGAGAGCGTAAAGGGCAAAGGAAAACAGGTAGAGAATGTGAAAACTCATATTTAGTGAGTCATGTGCCAATTATATATACAATCAGTTCCACCCAAGAAGCAAGATGACTTTGGATGGGTGTCTTGGCTGTGGCCTGCAGTCCCAAAAGCCTAAGTCACACTGCCTGCCCCATCTGGCACACACCTGCCACGTGCTTAATCCTGTGACCCACATCTTCATCAGTGGGTGTGGTGACGGGGCTCATCACCTCTTCCAGGTGAGGGACCCGCAGGTGGGCATGGGGACGCTTCCTCCTCCGCACCGTTGGAGGCTTGCTGGCCTTCTCTTTGGGAGACTGTCTGTGCATCTCAGCCAGGTAGGTACTTTCTGTTTTGGTCAGCTCGCTCTCTGTCCGAAACAAAAGGCCACACATCAGAGGCCTAGACTTCCAAACCAACACACTGGACTCCGGAAGCTGGTCTGTTTACTCCTAGCTGAGCCTTCTCCAAGGGAACCACTTTCCACACTATACCCTGGAAAGATGGCTGAAAGGACATGGGTCCCTCAGGGTTGTGAATGGGCCTCAGTAAGTACTGCTGACACCCAGGCCAGCCCAAACACTTCATCTGGGTTGGTCAACAGTCTGTGGTAACATAGGTTTCCAACACCTGCACCTGGGTCACACAATTAGGGACACATCACATTTCCTAATGGATGCATTCACAGGCTATTTCCTTCTCTGCTGGTCACCAGAGTGACTAGCTCTGGAGTTCACGTGGGGGAGGGAGTGGTGACAGACCCCTTTATGAGGCATGGTCTCTTGAAAAACCTACATGTTCATATATGCCGAATTTTGTGTCCATCCCTGGGGCACACTTTGGGACCCCATGAGACCCCTTCACCGTGTCAGTCTCTCTCCTGTTGTCCGTGTTTCCCGTGCCCTGCATGGTGTCTGCTGTACCATCCACCCGGCTTCTGCGGCCCAACCCACAAGCAGTAATGGTGACGGCAGTGCTTACCTAGATGGCGGAAATAGTCCTCCAGCCCACTCCAGAAGTTCTTCTCGATGAAAGACTTCACCAACCCCCAGGGCTGTTTCCGATAACGCAGCTCTGTGGAGACCCTGTGGAGCAAGCCAGAAACGAGATCAGCTACTTCTGGGGCAGATCCCCCTCTGCTAGTTAAAGGAAGGTTCAGGGTGAAGGTCAAAGCAGTCTCACATCTCTGTAATGGATGCATTCACAGGCTATTTCCTTCTCCAGCTTTAACAAGTCAGAAAGTCTTTTCACACTCATTGCATCATTTGCTCTCCCTGGTCACCCTTTGAGGTAGATGAAGCTAATGGATTTATCCTCATTTTATAGATGAGGAAATGGAGTTTTAGGTTACTGAAGCAGACCAAAGGCCAACAAGAGCTTGACTCAAAGCCCAGAGCTCCTCCACACCGCCATGCTGTCTCCCCCAGAGCACACCTGATGGGGCTGAGCAGCTGACCCCAGCCAGCTAGTCCTGAGGTCCTTCTCTACTTCTCCAGAGGCTTCATGTCTGAGCCATCATATCCACCTTTAATAGCATTCCCTGTGCTGACCTGGTTCTTGTGTTTTCCAGGAGACTCAAGACCTTGCCGGCTCTTGCTCTTCTCCAATATTCTCTTCACCATCCTGAGTGTCTCTACCGCCCCTGCCTTACAGATCTCTGCCTGCCACACAGCAGCCCAGCAATTCGCTACCTTTCCTCAGGTTCATTTTCACTTGCTAGGAGATGCTTCTGGTTCATGTTCCCCATGTTTAGACTGCCTGCCCTGCCCACCTCCACCATGACCTGATGTGAGTCATGCCTCTCATGGGACCCACCTCACTCCCCTGCCCAGCACCATATACCTGGCAGAGGGGGGAATGGTCACACACCTCTCTGTAAAAATGTATCTGAGGTCAACCGGCTATGGACCAGACAGAAAGGATACCCAGTCAGTCCTGCAAGGAAGCTAGAGCTGAGAAATGAGACACTGTGGAGGAGGAAGGACAGAAGGAAGAGACCAGAAAAGGCAGGAAGAGGAGTGAGAAGGAATGGGAGATGTCCAAAGAGCAACAAAGAAACAAAAAAAAAACTTATACTTTTTAAGCCAAGGATGAGAAAGATGCAGGGTCTAGCCGAGCTGTGTGCAGTCAGAACGTCCTGGTTCCCAAGCCATCTGGATTCCCACTTCAATCAATTCCTAGTTCAATTCAGATTTGAACTACACGTGAGTTTCAGCCCCACACAACCAGAACTTGATCTAAGGTGCAGCTACACAGTGTGTTTTCAGATTCTATGGCTGTGTGCCTTGACTTTTCAATTTAACTACAAGCTCTTCAAATACCAGGGTCTGAATTTTTCCCTTCCTCGAGCACATGTCGTGCATGTGTGCAGAGTAGGATGCTACCCACAAACAGCATTCCAACCATTCAGCACTGGGGACGAAGTAGTGAATGGAAGGGATTCCTGGTCTGCGGGGCTCCATGACTCACGGAAGATGAGCAAGAGATGTGGCAGAGACAGAGCCTCATGAAAGCGCAGATCTGTACTTCGAAGAACCAGGTGTCGGTTCTCACTCAGGGATATGACTCTTGGCAAAGTCAACAAACTCATGAGCCTCAGTTTTCTTATGTGAAGAATGAGTCTGAATCACTTCCTTGAATCCTTCTCCAGATTCCAGGTGATGGAGGTAAAGTGCTTTGTAAACTACAGGCTATTAGTAAACAGCAATAGCTAAGACGGTTTTACTAAAGAGGCCTGCAGTGTGGCGAAGGGAACGTGTGGTGGGGAGGATACTGACGTGTCAGGATAGGGAGGTAGGGCACAGGGTCCGAGAGGCTTGGGGAAGAAGATGGAACAAAGAATGGCAACCTCCTCCCCGCCCTGCACGAGCAAATGAATGTTCTGACGTAAGGCACTGGGAAGCTCCCCGGAACCCACTTGGGGGTCCCCACCTGAGCCGACTCTTGTTCCGGGCCACACGGGTGAGCGTGTAGCGATTGATGGTGTAGAAGTAGTCATGGTAGGGCACGTCGTGTGTGAGGACCTCGGCGTCGATCACGTAACACTCACTCTCCTGGCTCGCCTTGTACATGGTCTGCGGGAGCAAAGGCCGGTGGGACAAACTGCAGAGGAGCAAGATGGGAACGGCACCTCCTCCCCCAACCCCCACTTCTAAATGGGGACCCAGAACCAGGATGGGGATGCTGCAGGTAAGAGACTACGGTTTCTGAGATGACACCTGCACCCAGAAACTTCTTCCCAACCTCTATCCTTGATCCTTCACACCAGAACACGGGCTTCTACCCCCACCCCCAAAACTGGCCTCTGCCCTCCACTCACCTGTGTCTCCCTGACGGTGGCCGTTTTGGGAGCCAGGGGGTTGGTCAGGGTGATGGTATAAAGAATCACTCGGCTCTGGTTTCCGTTCTCTTCCTTCTTCCAGGGATGGAAGATGATGTCTGAGGGTAGAGAGGAGCTGGGCAGTGAGGGAGGGCAAGAGGCATGCCCTCTCCATTTCTGAATTTCTCCTCCAAGTGAACTTCTCCTGACTGCGGACTGGCCCCCCAAAGAAGCCAATGGGAGCCTGAGGGCGAGGGGAGGCGGCTGGGAGGAGGGGGAGGCAAAGCAGAAAGGCTCATTGTAGCATTGCCGAAATTCTCCACAGGCTTCCAGAATGCTGATTGTTCCCGGGGCTGGGGCAGGAGGTCTTGGGGCCACCTGCGGGGGTGCTGGCAACACTGGAGTTACTGTGACGGGAGCCTGGGATCCTTGAGAAAAGTCCTCTCCTCTAAGGCGTGACCTCCCAGGGCCCACATCAGGCCCTCTCCTGCTGGCAGAGGGCTGAGCTGATGCCCAAGTGCTTTTTTGCAGCTTGGAACTCTCAGCAGCTCCACCAGGCTGGAGGTACAGTCCCTGCTGTGTGGCAGAGAGGAAAAGAGGATGAGATAGGAGCAGCGAGGGGCAAGGCATGAAGCCTGCATTTGAATCCCGTTGGCCCCTGCATGACCTTAGACAAGCAATAATAGCGTGAGTTACATTTCCCTCACGGCTACTGTGGGGATCACAATCTTACAGATGTAGCATGTAATCTCATGTTTAATGTGAGATAACATCATGTGCATGGCACATAGCAGGTGCTCCTGTTCTTTACTAGATGGTATGTCCTGTGAGGTCTGGCTGGCCCATAAGCTTTCGGGGCCAGGCACCAAATGCCTGGTCACAGTGGACCTGGTCACCGTGGGCAAGCATAAAGCTGTGGTGTTGGGGGAAGGAGTAGCCAGTAGGCTCCTAGTCCACCAGGTGCACTGGGAAAGGGGTTGTTGGAAAGAGACGCAAGGGACAGGCGGCTCCAGCCTCAGGGAAGAACGGACCAGAGAAGCGTCGTTGCTCCATGAAGTCACGCTGGAAAGGCGAGTCGGTGAACAGAAGGTCATAGAGCTTGTCCACACTGAAGTTGAAGACTTCATTCACATATTGCCGGCCACTCAGGTCCTCGTAGAAGGCCTGGACCTCGCCTGCACAGAAGAGGGTGAGTAGTAAGTAGTGGACAGGGAAGGTTGAGGGCAGGTGATCCCAGGGACTTCAAAGCACTAAGCACTGCAGCAAATGTGGGAATGGCAACCCAAGGTTCAAGGAGGTCATGGAGTAGGGCATCCGGACCAGTGGGCTCAGCTCCCTCCTTGGCTGGCATGTGTCCTGTTCACTTGAGTTGGGAATGTATTCATCCATCCTTTGCAGAATCGGGGGTTCTACTATTTGCTTTTATATTTTCAAGTCTTCCTAATTAAGATGATTTTAGACTAAAGTGTAAGTGACTACTTCCTAGCTTTCCCGAACAGTTATTGAGCTGCTACAAGTTAACCATAATTGACAACAAAAGGTTGCTGACATAATTGACAACACTAATTTGTAATGATCTGTTTATAAAAAAGCTTCTAAGGCTGGGATGAGTTACAGGGCTTTGATCTCTAACTACACAAGGTCTGCTCCCCTTCCATAAGGCACCTTATTTCTCCCATGATTTCAATAATCTTGAATTTTCTATCTGCTACAGGAGAAATGTGTCTGAGGGTATGGGTAAGTTATTTAGGCTCCTGTGCGCCTCCCCAGTCCCTAATATGCCACAATCTCTGATTACTGCATCTGCAGTCACTGATAAGTGAGCTCAAGAGGATGCTATGGGCCTCCCTGGTGGCGCAGCAGTTGAGCGCTGGGTTGCCAAGCTGCCCGCAGCCTCTGCTGTGCCGGTTCAATCCCCGGCTGCTCCCCGGCCACCGGAGGAGGGTCCCGCATGGCGCACAGACCTCTCCTGCCGCCCGCTGCTCCCCTCAGCAGTGTACTTCGGTCCTTCTGCCTGCTCTGCTCCTGCTCTGGCTCTGGTGATTCTCTCACTCTCCCACGCTTCTGACTGTACCCAGTGCTTGTATAAATAAATAAAAACAAACAAATCTTTAAAAAAAAAAAAAAAAAGAGGATGCTGGCTCACTGTCTGTCTCTGACCCTGAGAAGGCCAGGGAAGAACTCAGGAGCATCCTATGGGCCAGTGCCTATTCCCACACAGAAGGTGTACTCCATGAATACCATGGGGGGCATATTCACTGCTTAGTCTATATGAATGGCACCCCATTATTATGCCATCCCCAAGCTCTGCAGTCATTTTCATTGGCCCTGAATATTAAAGGGAGTAGAGAAGCTAACCGCAGGGGAGAAGACCACCACAGTAACCCACGAGACTGTCCATGGGTGGACATATGAGCCCTGTCTGCACTCCCTTACTGGTCGTAATCTATCCACATCCATCGATTTCATGCAGAGAACTTAGCCTCTCATTCTGGAATGTTGAGAAACAGCATGTTGCTGAATGCGGCCCTAGAAGCTAACCCTCTGCAGCAATGAAGAAAGCAGCCCTGTACTTAGAAATGTAAAGGTCAGCTCCAGAGTCTGACCCAGCCAAACCTTTTCTTCCAGGCTGCTCTAGAATCCCCACACCAGAGTCACTTAGGCAAGTTTCTATTAGCATTATTTCCAGGGAGCAGCAGATTGGCACTTGCCTCATGGCAGATAAATATCTCCTAGTGCTGTTTCTTGGTGAAGGAGGTGGCAAGACAAGCCAATTCCCACAGGGGGTACATGAGTGAGAAGACTAGATGGCAGGACAAAGCATCATCTCTCTAGAGAAGAAAGACCAATATGGGGGGCCCTCCCTGGTGGCCTAGGGGTTAAGTCTCAGCACTATCACCACTACAACCTGCGTTCGATCCCCAGCCAGGGAGCTAACCCACATCTAGTACAGCAGACCTCTCCTTTCTTGCCCACTGCTCCCCTTAGCAGTATTTCAGTAGATCCGCCTGTTCTGCTCCCTAGTCTGTCTCTGGTGAATCTTCTCAGCCCCCTGCACCTCTGGCCTACACCCCAGTTCTTCTATGCAAAAAAAAAAAAAAAAAAAAAGACCAACGTGAAGATCCCCAAAAAGGGATGTGTGCAAAAAACATGTACCATCCCTTAAGAAAAGCCATTACCCATCTATTCGTCCACCAGGAAACTACAGACTGACTCGTCTCCATAAGCCTTCAAAATGGAGACAGGAATGGCCACCCTGCATCCATTTTTGAATACCCACCTTCGTCATGGGTATCGGAAGAGTCGCTGAGCTCGGTGGGGATGTCCTCATTGTCATTGAAGTCCAGGGAGGGGGAGGCCACAGGTGCAAGGACCTCAATTTTCTCCCCAATGATGTTGTCGATGGTGAGCTCCTTCTCTAGCGATCCATCGCCCCCCAGCACCTCCTCTTCCAGGGGCAGTCCATCGAACTGCAGGGGAGACAGAGATGTCACTCCATGAGGCAGCCTGCCTTGGGTCTACTATCCAAACGACATTAGGGGCCCTCACATTCCCTACACAGATGCTCTAGCTGGGCTGGAGTCAGGCTCTGGGGGTTTCCTCCAGCTCTGCTGGGGAAGATGACAGAGCTCGGTTTGGGTTCTGCTCTTCTCAGGCTCTTGGCAAATAGCACATCATGCCCTACGAGGAGCAGTCCACTCCTTGTCACTGTTGTTGACACAGAGTTGTGATCATGCTGGCTTAAGAAGCTCAAAAGACTTCATCAGCATTTTCCCGTTAGCCCTGATGGGGAAGAAAAGCCATTCTTTACATTCGAAAGATAACCTCAGAGACAGAAAATGGAGCGTAGGTATCAAACGTCTTCACCCTAAGGTCTGACCCCTCTGGCACTGGAATACAGACTCCCCTTCCTGGAAATTCTTTTCTGAGGACTCCATCCTTCCTTCTACCTGGCTATTAACCGATGTGCTTCCTCCACTGAGCAGTTATTTCCTCTAACCAAGATCCAGAAGACAGAGGTCCTTCTCACACATTTTTATCTCTTCTACAAAATCTAGCATCATGGGAAAATAAATTGGAGCATATAGACTGGGGCCTTCCTAACCACTTATTGAATGCATGAATACAGAGGTAACAATGCTACAGTCCTACAGTCACATGGGCGTGATTTCAGAGCAAGGCAGAGAAAGACCAGGGGCTAGTTGTCCACCAGAGGGGCTGCCCTGGAGTCGCCCACCAAAATCAAGGTTCACTCAAAGGACTTGGAATGGTTTTTCTCTGCTCAGAAGCCAAATTTTGGTAATTAGGGCACCAAGAACCAGCTCTGGACACTGGGAGGACACCATGGGAACATAGCAGGAGGCCTCCATGAGCAGACTGACACAGTGTTATCAACCTCCCCGCCACATGCTCCCTGGGTTGGGGCCCTGCAGAGTTCACTGGATTGGGGGTATCCATACTGAGACAGGGGCTTCGCTGCTCCCAGTGGAGGTGAGGGTGCTGTTGGTGATAGACTTCTTGGGCAGCTGTGGACTGGCATCCGGCTTGGTCTCTATACTGCTTTTGGAGGAGCTGTCATTGACTTCATTCTCTTCTACGGGGATCTCCTCGCAGTAGCTGAAGGAAAACATCCCAAGCATGTTAACAACATTCGTGGCCCAGACCAGCAGCTATTCTCAGTACTGAGAACTGTCTCTCCATCCAAACCATGGGACTTCTTCCTTCTTTGCTCTGTATGTGATTTTCTAAACACTTCCCTACCCCGCTGCTCTCCTGAAACCTGCTTCCCACCTTACCCTACCTCTCCTGTGTAAAATTTCTGGCTCCAAACTCATCTTTTAGGACACCCTTCTTAGATTTCTCCCCACCTAAACACGGCCATTATTTGCCAAGACTTTCTTCTTCCATCATTACATTTTCCAATCCAACCCAACCCAAACATATGGGTGTGGAACATAGGGTTCATTTCCCACACAGTGACTAGAACAGGACTCTGGACATGAGTGTTCCCTGGGGGCACTGCCCAGCTTCTGGATCACAACTAGTTAACTTCTGTGCATGTACTCCTATGGGACACCAACCTTTATCTATGAGATAAAGGAGGGTGTATTACTAGGGACATCTCAGGGATGTCACTGTGGCGACTCACGGAAGAAACCATCATTGTCATCATCCATATCCGACTCATACTTTACATACTATCTCATCTGGACCCATGAGCGATGAATAAATCATTTCATCCATTTTAGAGATAATCAAACAGATAGCCCCAGAGGTTTCGTGATCCTACTATCAAGTGTCAGAAGATGTAGCTAAGTCCAGGGCTACAGATAACACATTCAATGCTCTTTCCTCCATTTCTATTCCTTTGTGCCTCTCATACTACCACACCTCCATTACTTTCCCAACCTCAAGCATCCTGACAGCAATTTGGTCCTCATTTTTTTCTTTTCTTTATATTTTAAAAGGACAGGCTTATTAGGAAATGGAGAGAGAAAAAGAGAGGCACCTGCATAGTCACAGGCACACAAGGAGAGCTTGTTCCTGAAAGGTCCATGCAGCAGGCCGGAATGCAAAAGCCTACCCAGAAGCCCACCTGGGGGGCAGGAATGCGGATACCTGCCTGGAGGATTCAGGCAGTGAGCCTCCCCCCTCCCACTACGAGTCTCTTCTCAGACAAAGAACCTCTACCTGCCCCAGGAACCTTTTCGCGCGCCCTATAAACTTTTCCCGCCCACCTATAAACTTTACCCACCTGACCTCTCCTCACCCTATAAAACCCTGCCTCCCCCTAACAACATGCGCGGCTTCACTGACCCCCACCTTGGGTGTGTGAGGTCTGCCCGGGGCGCAATAAACTTTCTCTCCCTTTGAGAAATGTAGCCTGGCTCTCCTTTTCTTTACTGTGCCAAACCTTTCAGTTCCCACCTTAACCTGGCAGTGGCATGTGATACAGTAATACTTGCTTCTCCTTCACATTTCCTTCCCTTGGCTTCCAGGAAGCAAAACTCCCCTAGTGTTCCTTCCCCTTCACTTGTTACAGAATGCATGTCTGTGAAAGCAGGAGGAACCGCAGCACAGTGAACCAGTGCCATTTTCCATGCTGCCACTTACATGCAGCCACCTTGGATTACAATGCCCAGCATGCCATGAACCAGATCTCCTGAATGGGGTGCAGCTGGGAGGAGCAAGGTGGGTATAAAAATGGAGGCGGAACAAAGGAGGGAGGAGGGGCACCTGGAGGAGAGACAGGTGAAGAAGAGACACATGGAGAGGTTGCTCCTAGATCTTTAGTGTTTTTAGTAGAGAATGGAAGTCATTACCTTCACCTTGTGGTAGATTCTATGGTACATTTTGAATTTTGGGTTTCTCCTTCTGTACCAGTTCTCTGGGAACTCCCTAACCAACCCCTTTTTGTGGTTCCTTACCAGAAGTTACCAGAAAGCTTCTGACAAGCTTTTAGGCCTCAGTTACCCCATTTCAGGCCAACCCTGTTTGGATGGGTATTTGCCCATGAAGGGATGGGTAATTTTCAGAGTTTGCTGTTATATGAAATCCTTTCTTCTTTTTCTCTCTCTATGCAACCAAATAAAGCTCCTTCATACTAAGAGCCTGTTTTCTTTGTGGGGATGGCCAAACCCTTTTAAAATACACACTCCTTACCAGCTTAGAATCCTGGACACCCCTTGGTCACATGGTTACACACAGAATGGTTTTAATGATTTCTTTCCCTGCTTTTTTCTCTTGGTGAACATGGCCCAGTCCTTGAAATTCTTATGTTCATTTAGTCAGCTGGTGATTTCAGTCAATATCATGACTATCTACTGGTGTCTCCCAAGCCCGTGTTCCTTGCCCATTCATCCCTTGTAAACTCCACCCTCATATACACAGATGTACTTGACATCTCCACTGGGTGACAGTCACCTCAAACCTCACTTGCCTAAAACCAAGTTCCTGATCTCCACACCCCACCAAACCCTACAATGCAGATCAACTCAGTTTGGAACAACTATAACTTTCCAACTGGCAAATTCAAGAAACCCTTATTAAAGAAGCCATTGTGGCCTCCTCTGGTGGCGCAGGCGGTTAAGCGCTGCACTGTGAAGCTGTCCGCAGCCTCTGCAGCACGGGTTCGATCCCAGCTGGCTGGCGAGGGTCCCACATGGCACGGCAGACCTCTCCTGTTGCACCCGCTGCTCCCCTCAGCATTGTATTTCGTCAGTTTGCCTGTTCTGTTCTCTGCTCTGTCTCTGGTGAATCCTCTCACCCTCCCATGCATCTGGCCTGTACGCCAGTTCAATCTTTAAAAAAAAAATCACCAAATCTTTCAAAATGTTTCTGGTTCTGCCTTCAAAAAATATTCAGAAACTGACCACTTACTGCCATTTCTACTGCTCTTCTGGTCCAAACCGGCATCATCTCTCATCTAAATGCTATACATTATTCAACAGCCTCTTAGCCAGTCTGCCCTTCCTTCCTTTCAGTCTATGTTTCAACCCAGGAGCTAGAGTGAGCGATCCTGTTAAAATGTTAAGTCAGATATTATCAATCATCTACCCAAAGCTTTCCCACTAGCTTCTCATCCATTTCTGGGTAAAAGCTAATCATCATGTTGGCAAAAACTCTCAGAATCTGGAACCTGACCTACCTTTCTCCCCTCCTACTTGTCCTTTGTTAATATGGCCCAGCCATGTTCCCTTGCCTGGGAGGATCTTCCTAAAAGTTCCTTCCTGGTTCCCTCCCTCAATTCCTTCACTTAGATGTCACTCCCCAAGGAGGCCTTCACTGCCATCCTAGATCCTCACAGACAGCCTCCCTGGACAGCCTGACCTCTACCTCACTCACCCCATCGTGTTGAAGTCGTCATCGGGTGGCACGTAGTCCTCGTCATCACTGGTCAGGCCCAACTCGTTCCCGTAGCACTGGTGAACAAAGTGCCAGAGCTCCTTGGGGCACAGGGGCTACAGAAGACAACAGAGCAACTCTGACCCTTCCTCCCTTGGGGCCCCACTTTACACATGGGCACTGAGTCGGGCTGGTCTCCCTTAAGGGTAGGAGAAGCCAAACTCCACTCTACCTAGCTGAACTAAGCAGAGAGCAGTGTCTCAGGGCAGCTTCATCTGCCTGCCCTGCCTCCTTCCTCTCAGGTTTCTCAGCAAGCTCCAATCTTCTGCCCAAGAACATGGCTTTCAGCAAAGCCAGCAAGTTGGCCTGTGCCCTCAACTCAGGTTTGCATAATGGGACCAACTGGCCCCTTGCGGATGCAACCTTTTGCTCCTGTGGATGAGGTCCAGCACAAAGTGCCATAAACCCAAGTTACTCTGGGGCCAAAGTGGCCAGAGCTTCTGGTTTGGACTCGGAATGAGTGCCAGAGGTCCCCTGAGTCAGTTTCCCACATGCCACAGAATTCTCCTTCTACTAACAGAGGTGCGCCCCGCTGACTCATGTCCAAAAAGGTGGCCCATTCCACAGTTGGACAGTGGTTAGAAGAAGTCTAAGTTCTCAGGCCTCAAAGGCCATCTCATCCTGCCCTCTCTGGACCTCCTGAATAAGCACTTTTTCCTTTACTCTTATGCAGAATCAGTTTTTCCACAGCTCTACCTATTAGTTTCAGTTTTTAAAATCAAACTGAAAGAATGTTTCCCAATAATAGATTTGAAAAAGGATCTGAGTGCTTTCAGGCTACAATTTCAGAAGCTGATACTAGGAGTCAGGGTTCCAGCTTCCCCTCTAAAGAGATCAGCCCAGAATGGCAGAGTCAGGGCTCTCTCTGAGCCAGCGGCTGCTCCCTGTGCTGGACCACAGAGTACCAAAGTGGGGTACTTCCTTCTTTATCTGGACTTCCTTGCTCTGACGTCTGGCCTCCCTCTCACCCTGCCCGGGACACTTCTGTCTCTCTGCCAAACCTTGGCTCCCCTCCTTTACAACCTGCCTCCTCCATGCAGCCTTCCCTGACCAATTCCACCTGGCTCAGCTTATCTGACCACAGTGAGGACAAACACAATTAGCAGGGCAAGAGTTCTGTTCTGAACTCTTACAGTGAGTCTGTGAGAGCATCTGTGAACCACATGGATGATCCCTCTGTTTTACTTAGAAACGACAGCAGTTGTTAACTGACATTCAAAGCTGCCAGTGGATCTCAATCACATTATTATTACTGATGGCTAATAAAGCCAGATGATTTCAGCTCATATCAGATACCAGGATTTACACCAGGGCTACAGACTTTTGGTTAGAAGAAACTCCAAATAATCAATTTTCTTAACATGGTATTAATTTTGGCCCAAATCATAGAAGACACACACACATATTTAAAAAAAAAAAAAAAAAAAAAGACCTGATATCTAAAATATAGATTTCTATCTTATTTCTCTTCTCCTAACTTGGATGCTATTTCTATATGCCTAGGAGTACTGAGTGAGGGTTTTCTAAGGACTGCAACCAGGACATCTCCACCTGTGTCTCCTCACGATGTTCTTCAGACACTCAAGTTGTCAACTGACAGCTGAATAAAGGTTCTTGCCTAAGTTTTCTCTCTTCTCTTTGCCTCCTAATTAACCCTGCTGCTTCCTCCTGGAGCCTCTGCATGGGGTGCTTGCTTCTGCCTTTAGGGTCCCACAAACACAAAACTTCTTGCCGCATGGTCACCAGCCCCATGTCTGTGTCTTATCGGATCTGATTAAAACAAATCCTGGTGCTTTTTAAAACAGTGGGACCAAAGCATCAGATGCTGATGAGTGCCTTGCTCCAGGCAGTGATGAGGAAATGTTACTTTCAGACTTAGGTCAGTAACAGCAGTAGGAGAACATATCACTCACCACAAGTCTGGGGGATTTCCAGAACCATAAGGAAACCCGGCTTCTATGCAGCCGGTCCATCCCACAGTAAGAGCATGCTCCCCAGGAGGCCTATTCCCAAGAGGAAAGAACATTGCAGGTGGAGGTGCCTCCCGAGGCTGAAGGCAGCAGGACAGTACTTACCTTTTCAAGGAGAGCATTCTGCCAGAGCCGGAACATCATCATGTACGTCCTATCCCGCGCCCCAAATGAAGTGAAAAAGTGCTAGATTGGAAGAGAAAAATGGCAAGAAATGTCTGTGAAGTCTTGCAATATAATGGCGACATGGTACTCCTTTCTTTAAAAAAGTCACTGATCTTATCCTCAAATACTACTGACTCACAGTTATCCATAACCCCAGCGATGGAGAGCTGCACCCTGGGGGCCTCAGCTCTGGGACCTCTAAGTCCTCAATGTCATAGAGTCCTTCACTTTTACCCCACCCCTGCCTCAGTGCTTCTCTCTCTGGCTTGAAGGTTTCATCTCCATAAAGCACTCCCTTCACCTATCTTCTGGGTAGAGGTGAGCTGTGACTTAGCCAATAGGGAAAGAGAAGACAAACCGAATTAACCCACTGACTCGCTCATTCATTCACTCAGCACATATCTGAATATTAGCATATTCTAGGCACTATTCCACATACTTACAAACCAAACAGAAAGCGGCCCCTACCCTACATTGGTGGGGACCCTTTTTAATATGCTGAGGAAAATGTTGGTAAATAAGATTTTACTGAACACATTCCAGGGACTTTACAAATGTGGCTTTATTTAAGCCACACAAACATAAAATAATAACATAAAACATAACGCAGTACCTAAGAAACAGGCAGGTGAGGTTGTATAATCACAAAGCTGACTTGTGCCAGGAACAGAATTCAAACCAAAGACTATCTGACCCCTGAATTTCATGGTTCCTGAAACTGAACTGCCAAGCCCAAGGGAACTGTAGACCTTGGGGTTCAGCAGAAACCTAGCCCACCCCCAAGTTCTGAAGCTATTAGACTTCAGGATTGGGTTAAAGGTCAAAGAACACAGTGTTTAGTCTGCCTTAAATTTTATCCACCACATTCTCCCCATATCCATATGGATGATCCATTTCCCATCAGCCCCTCACTCCAACTGACATATAATCAGCTATGCTGATAGGTGATGAAAACAACTTATATTTGCATAGTGAGTGCTTTATAATTGAGTGTTTCCAAGTGTGTGATGTCATTGTAAGACTCAGTTAAACAGGTATTGCTGGTTCCATTTTACACATGAGAAAACCGAGGTTCAGGACAGTCATGGAACATGCCAGTAGTCAGGTGACTGACTCCAAGTTCAATGTTCTGCTACTCCATCCACCTCTACTCAGACTTGAAGCACTCTGCTCCACATGGAGGTGGATCTTATAATCTGCATTACCCTCAGCGGCTCACCCCAACCCTATTGGCTCCCGTATTAATGCAACTGAAGAGTAAAAATATGCAACTGGGGCTAGGGGTGGGGTGGGGGGGGAGGAGGTGTAGTAAATCCAAATGAGACTCCCCTTACCTTTTCTGAGTCGGTGCAAACTTGGATGGCATTGGGAATGAGGCGAGCTGTTTTCTCCTTAGTCATGGAGCAGATGTCTTTCAAACGGACGGTCAGCTGACATCCCCACAGGGACAGAAAATGGACAACAAGCAAGAGGAGGCATTAATGGAGTTAAGGCACAATGTCCACATGGCACCAGTTCAGACAGATGAAATCTGATCAGTATCTCTAAACCTGGAAGGAACTGCCTTAGACATCACCTGGCTTAGTCACTTATTTAGAGTCCATCCAGTGAGGCAGAGACTGAGTCTCACCCAAAGCCCAAGGAGATTTTCATTCTTGATCCAGAGCTTTCTTTCCCATTTCTACAGTCTGATAAATGTGCAGGGAGAGGTTGATCAATATTTGTCACTTTATAGACTTGGACTACTGGCACTGACTGGGACCATGAAAGTCATTTAGTTTTTCCTTCTCTATTTTATAAGATGAGGAAAGGAAAGAGAGGCAAAGAAAGAAAGAAAAAAAAAAAGGACTAATCTAAAATCATACAGCTTATCAGCTGCAGAACCCAGAAAGTGTATAAGCCAGTTCTGAGTCCCAAGGCCAACACCCTTTTACTCTACTCTGCCACCTTCTGCAGTGACTCCTGCCAAACATTTACCTGCATTTGCCAAAAGCAAACACATTCAACATGGCAGGGGAAGTTGTAGCAGGGAGATAGATCCTGCAAGATGCAGACCTGTGCTTTTTGTTAATTGTGCAAAGACTTGGAGAAAGCATGGTGTCAACCAAAGGAAGAAAGCAGGCACAGCCAAGGGGACAGCCCAGGGGAGCAGCAAGCCCCATGTCTTTACCAGAGTTTCCCAGCGGAAGATGTTGCTGTAGAAGCAGATCCAATTTTCAGAGAGGTAGAGTCGGCCCTGAAGAAGAATGTCCCTTTGGAGTGCACATGAATAATCTGTAGTAGGATGGGGGGACAAAGAAGCTCAGGGACAGAAAGCACTTTCAGCAAACCACTACAATTTAGGCATGCCTCCCACCCACCAGCACTGGCAGAGCCCAGCTGCCTACCACCGACTAGGCATGACACTTGAACTAGTGGCCAGCGGGTGTCCCTAGCATCTGGTGATTAGGACCATGCAGGATGTGAAACACGCTACTGCTTAGAGCAGAAGAATGGATGAGCTGGCAGAGTGGGGCAAGAAAGCTAGAGGTAGAGAAGTTCAGGGAAATTCAATCCACAATCCACAATCACCCAATCCCTTTACTGCTGGGTCATCTGTAGAGAGGGGCGGCTGTAAGATTCCTTGCAGGCTGTTTTCTCAGCCCTGGGCCCCGAGCATCCTCTCTCCCTGCTCCCAGTCAGAGGTTCCTAATAGGGTTGCTCTTACTTGGGGGAAGAAGAGTGCTGTCCCCCAGACTCACACTTCCTTCTTGCCCGCACCCCTGGGTGCCCAGCTCACCAACAATGAGGCGCTCCGTGTCTGGAAGTTGCTTAAAGAGCTTTCGGAAGTCTTCATTTCTCTGCTTGTAAGTGGGGCTTAATACCTGCATGACAATGGGCCAGGTTAGCAGATGCTCCCAAGTTCTGTGAGGCTGGGGAGGATGGTGAGGGAGAACCTGCTTGGGTGTTTAAAAGGCCAAGATGATGCTCTGTTATCCCACAGACCCTAGCAGCTCAGGCAAAGTGGGCTTGGCATGGAAAAACACAGTGGGGAGAATTTGATGCTGCAAAAGGCTTTGGATGTAGTGTCTACAATGAGAAGGCGCTGAGCAGGCCCCAGATTACATCCCAAGAAAGGAAAGGAAGGCAGGTCACTTGCGGGGAGTTTCTCGGGCCACACCATGCCAGCACTGCTGCTGTGCCTTTGGCCAGCAGACAGCACCACCTTAACCGTGAGGCAGGGCCCGAGGGGGGCTCCCCTGTCCCCCAGCTGGACCCATGATGAGAAGGTGCACAGCGCACCCCTCAGAAGAAGTTGCTAATATGACTGACATGGCTGTGTGTGAAATTTGAGATTAAAAAAAAGTCAATTAAATCCTAAAACTAACACAATGTTATGGTAATTACATTTCAAACAGGGAAAAAAATGACATTTTGATGCAGACTCAAAAAAAGACAACCAAAACTAGTGCTAGAATAAGCAAAGAAGTGAATTTAAAAGCACATCTGGCATCTAGAGGCTCCTGACTGCGATCTCTGCCCATTCATCACAAGATGCTGTGACCCAACCCTTACATTAGATGAGGCCAGAAAGAAGTCCCGGCTGGGACCAGTCTCCGGCTGGTCAGCAGTGGACCTCTTTGTCGGCCCCTGGTCCTGTGCTCCCACGACAACTTGTGCTGACAGGCACCCCTTGTGCCCTCCTAGCTTTTGGAGTACCTCAGGGTGAACTCACACCCCCAAACTGCCTGGAATTTCAGGGCCAGTCAAAAAGGACTCCTGCTTTTTCTGAACTTACGATCTTCCAAACTTATGCCGCAGCTGGAATGATACAGGCAGACAAGTGCACAAGCCATGGACTTGGACCACTGCAGAAACACACCTGCCTCCATCCAGGTGGTTTGTTAGCCTGTTATTGTCAGGACTCATGCAGACCCAGGGTTCTGGCAATGGTGACACTTGGGTCCCAGCCGTTTACATTTTCTTTCCCACTTCTGTGGGTATCGGCTGGCAAATAGCTGTGGTGATGATGGAATGAGCTTTGGCCTGTACATTTCTGGCTTTCTGCAAATCCATGAGGAAGCCCAAGCTATAGCTGGCCACACTGGCAGCTTTCCCAGACTACCTGAGCTAGGTGGCTGGTGGCTTTTGTGCAAGAGGGAATAGGATTATCTCGGGAAGCTGGGGAAGAGAAAATGACATGACTTTAGTTGAGGCAGTTTTCCAGAAGAGGAGAGAATGAATAAGAGAGAGACAGAGAAAGAGGGAGAGGGGTAAAGAAGTGGGAGGAGAGAAGGGGAAATACTTTCAAACACACTATAGCTCACTTGAATTTTTAACATTTGTTCTAGCCTATTTATGAGTGGTACTTGCAATAGTGGGCAGTCAGCTACCTTCTCCCAAGCAATGTCATCTTGCAGCATCTCAAATTCACAAATCACTTGCTACATGTCTGAACCAAGTATCAGGGTCACTGGCAGTAAATGCCTGGAAGTCAGCCCATCCCATGACTTCCGTGGCTAGGAAAGACCTCAGAACCACATTCCCCTGAGCCACATACTCGTTTTGAATAGATACCCCACCTAAGTGGCCCTTGGTCTCTCAGAACCACTGAACACCCTGGCTTGGCCACCTGATGGTCTGTGAGTCCTTGATTTCATCCAAGTGACTGTGTAGAGCTGCAGTGAAGTCAAAGTAGGAGTCCTCACCAGCCCCACATGGTCATACACCCTTCACACACCTCATTTTACCTGCTCACGGGATTAAGTATCTTGTTTTACATACAAGGAAGTTGAGCACCAGCCAGGCAGAGCATCCTAGAGCTCTGGGTCTGAGTGACCCTCAGGGTCCTTGGGTCAAGAGGGGAGGAACTGGGATGCACCAGCAGAGCACAATAGTGGCAAGGAGATGTTCACGAACTTTGGAACCCTAATAGCCTTCCTGGACCCCAGTAGGTCTTTATAAAGTGCCAATATCAGCTTGAGCAGCAGCCCACCAAGGGACCCCAAACTCCCTTCAGATGAAACTGGACATCCGGGTTCCAATTATCTGAAGCCGGAAGTCCGCCTATTTCTAAGAATTTTTCCACACCCTCCCTTGAGTTTGCTTCTTCTCATTTCCCAAGGGAATTCAGCAATTACAGAGGTGGACGTGCAGGGAGTGTGGCCATAATGTCCAGAGCAGAGGAAAATCAAGGGAGTCTCTCCTCTCCTTGGAACAAGGCTGTGGCCAGGGAAGAGACGGATGCAAATCCAACTCTGAACTCTGAAGTCATCCTGTTGGACAAGGACTCTTTTAGGCAGAGGGGCTCCTTAACCCAGGCTTGCAAATAAATGCCGATTCTATCAGGCTGCCAATGTGGATGGAAGGCCAGCCTTCCCACCACACATCCCCTTGGCAGACCAGAACTCTCCCTCCCACCCCCTTGCTCTTAAAGCAATTTCCTCCAAAGGTGAGGCCTGGCTCACCTACTTCAAAACAGCCAAAAGCACTTTGGCTCAAAGATGATAAAAGCCAGGGCCCTCACGTACAGGGCCACGTGGGGAAGGACACAAGGTACATAGAACTTGCCCCACAGGCCCGAGAGAGATCAGGTCACACACTCACGGCTGGGATTTCCTCAGATCCACACCAGCAATAGAGCTCCGCACCAGCAGGTACATCCATAAGCTGCTTCAGGTACCACAGCAACGACTGATTGTCCTGTTCCAGGACAAGGGCCCAGAGGACCCCACATTCTGTCAAAGATTCCATTGCTCCCCACTTTCCAAAGGAGCCTGGCTCCTCAAGTTCCGATTCCCTCCTCTCCCCACACTTCTCTCTCCAGGCCTGCACACAGATGTGTGACCACAGGCTTCTCGGTGGGTCTGTGTGACTCTGCCCGGCCTCCTTTTCTCTCCCGAAGTTCTGTTCCGTTCAAAAACTTCACAAGTGGGAGGGTGTGGTCAGCATGGTCTTGGGACAGGCTGTCCAGCCTCTGGCTGGCTCCTGCTTTGTTCTACTTGGCTCCCAGTGGGACTGGTCTTCCAGCTGAGGAGGACCCAGAAGGGACGTGGGGAAGCCTCTCCTCCTGGGTCCAGGTGGACGGTCACTCCAAGAGGCCAGCGGAGGTCAGAGGACACAGGTGTGCAGCTGAAGTCTCTGAACGACAGGCTCTGGAGACAGGCAAGCTGCACAATGACCCCACGGCCACACTGAGCCTATCCCACTGGTTACTCACACTCAGCAGACAGGCTCAGTTTTGGTCTGAAAGTCCAAGGAGAGGACAAGCGCCCAGCTCCCCAGCTCTGTCTGTCCCGTTCCATTAGGCAGCCTGGTTCAATGTGCAATCACTCTGGGCGGGAGCTGGTGGCGATGACTCACAGCCCGCGCCCAGGCGAATGGCCACCCCTGGCTGGGGAAACAGGGCCTGCTCTCACCCCCACTGCTCACACATCCCTCTCCCCAGACCATGCTCCTCTTGGCTGACCTGCAACAACTCTCTTTGTTAGTCGCCTGTAGTGGGAGGGAGGGAGGGAGGCGGGTGGGTGGGCGGACAGGGCCGGAGCCCTACACATGCTTCAAGTTACAGGATCTGGGTGATGGTACAGGCCAACGTCCTCCAGTAACCCCCGGCCTCGCCTGGCCTCCCCAGCAGATGTTTCCTGCAATGGAAAGGAGTTGGCCAGAGCTCCCAGTGGGGGAGGGGAGGAGGAGGTGCCAGGGGCACTGCAGTCATGATGAAATCTGAAATTTGAGACCCAAACAGCCTGGGGCTTCTTGGAGACACTCACTCTCTCCTCTCACAGACCCATCCATCCACCATTTCCCCCCAAGAAGCAGCAGCACAAGATTTGGAAGCTTAAATCATCTCCTCTCAGTTGTGTCGTTGGGGAGAAGTTGGGCAGGTGGGCTGGAGATGGTCAGGTCCACGGCTCTGGGGTCTGTTTCCTCTCTTTCCAGGCACCCTGTCCTGCCTCTAGCACTAGCAGCTGGGGGATCAAGGCCAAGAGGGTTCCTGGGCAGCTGCTCAGTCCTTTCAGGTGGAGTCACTTATATTCTTTATATAAGAGCAGCAGAACCTGTCCCAGGTGATAAGGAGACAGGCAAATGCAGGGAAGCTGGGATCTAGGGGAGGTGGGGGGAAGGGGTTTCAGGGCCAGAAGGGCTGCAGGCAGGATGCCAGGGATTACAGATTAGACAGTACTGGGGCTGGGAAGATTTGGACTCATAGAAAAAGTCAGACCCTTGAAACAAATGAGACATCTCATCCCATCCCCAGCAATGTCCATCTTGCCAGAAGGGTCACAAGTGTGCCCAGGATGGTAAATGGTGCCTCTGCTCTAGGAGTCTCAGTGACTAGATGCAAAGCATCAAACTCCAGTGTACTTAGGCGTGACCTAGAGAATGCATGAAAAATGTGGATTCCTGACTCCTCAACCAAAGATTCTTCTGATCACAAGGACTTGGACTCCCAGGTGAAGCAGCATTGGCCACCTGATGGTCTGTGAGTCTTGGGTAAAGTAGGGGATGACGCCAACTCCTACAGCCCTCAGGGACCACGCCCTGGACCCAGCCACTGCCTCCACTGGTCATGTATCACTGGGCGATTACTGCACCTCCAGCACCGTCTACAGCATGCGGCGTGTTTCAAATAGCAGCTTCTCAAAACCTCATTACCAAGCTTACGCATTTCTTACATGCCTCTTGAAATGCTCCTTTTCAGGCAGGTCTTACGTTCTAGGGCTGTGGCTTCTGAGGTGCCCAGTCCAGCCAACACTCCCCCCCGCCCCACATACACACATCTGAGTTTCTCTACCCGTGGGTGCTGTCAGAGGCACCCTCAGTGGTGGGGTAGGAGAACTAACATCCCTTCCAATTCCCGCAGGATGCTCTCCCAGGCCATATTGAGACCAGGTGGGCTGATGGTTACAGCCAATTCCCTGGAGACACTTGAGCATTGTTGTGAGCTGTTTGGGCTGTCGTGGGGTGGGGTAGAGATAGGAAACACACAGAGATAACCCCTGGGAGATGAGTCTCTGTGCTCAGCCTTTGTCTCCTGAGGCTGAACTGGGCTGGGCAGGGCAGGGCAAAGCTAGGCTGGGCAGGGCAGGGCAGGGCAGGGCAGGGCAAGTAGGCAGCTTCCAGCCTCAGAGGAGAGGGAATTGGCCCTGAGCTAAACATTAACTCCATGGCAAACAATGGGAGCTGGAACCAAGTGGTACTCCCTCCCTGGATACAATAGGGCTGGGGGGGGGTACAGGTGTGGGGAGGAGGGTTGGAGAAGCCCAGGAGAAAAACAAGTGGATTTTGCTGGAGTACTGGCTTCACCTAGGATGAAAACAATTAAGACTCTCAAAGGACACCCTTGCTCTCCAATCAAATTGGGGCAACAAGGAGTCAGCTGGGAGCTATGCAGACTGTGGACACAGTGGGGGGGGGGCAACTGAGCAAAGAGAGGGTGGGCGTAATATAGAAAGGTGGAAAAAGGACTGTGCTGGCAATGGGATTTTTTTCTGGAGAGAAGGGACGACTCTTGAGAAAGTTAAGCATGGTTGTCCCAGGAGCCGTCTCAAGATAAAGGGTAACTACAAGAGGGAAGAGGGACACAGTCAGCCCCAGGAAAGAAATACAGGCTTCCCAGGTTGTCGACACTGCTACTCTCTTGACTGGCCCCTTAAATCCTAGATGGCTTTCCCACAAAGCTTTGCCGTCTTGCTCTCAATCTTACGCCAGTCAGACCAGCTTGTTAAGTCACAGGACTGGCACCAAAGGGCCAGCGTCCCTAACCAGCATTGGGTGACTTGGATCCAAGGCCTCCGGCAGCTGCCAGGGTCAGGGCTCCTGCCCTCTGACCTCAGAAATGCCCCTTCCCTGCGTTTCTATGCAGAGACTGATCCCCAGGAAAGGGTCAGGCAGATGAAGACAGTACCATTGCCCACCTGAGGCACAGAGAGACTTCTACCACTGTGAGCTTCACCCCAGATGCAAACTTACCTCAGAGCAGGGATCATTTTTAGGGGGCAGACTGTGCCAAGTGCACCTCCAAAGTATCCCTTGGTGACGCCAGACACCAAGACACCCAATTCTGCTTATGCCTCCATCTCAGGTCTACTGGGGCTGTGCCACCCAAGCTGGAGGCCTTGATGAATAAAACCAGGTAGTCAAGTGGGGCCAAGGGTAAGGGGGAGAGGACACAAACAGGCCTGGTGGGACTCGGGGTACCTGCGGATGATACAGCCTTTAAACCCACTTTGATCTGAATAGTCCTGGCTAGAGAAAGAAGCTCCTGCATCTCAGTCCTTCCATGGGCCCCTTAGCTCTGGCCACCCCCCTCTAACCCCCAAACAGGACCCACGCTTTAGACCGAGGAGGCCTGTCATTGCAGCAACAGCTCCTCCCTGGCTAAGTTAGAAGTAAAATGCTGTTTCTTCTACAGGAGAGAGGCAGGTGAGGCGGCTGTGGGGTGGGCAGAGAGGTGCTGGGTGAGCCTCCACTCAGATCAGACCCAGGAGACTCGCTGATTGGACTTCCCTGAACCCGTCAGATGTTTCTGTCCCCTGGGCTGGGGATCCTCAATGTCCCTGGGGTTTCGCCCATTTGAAGGGCTTCCAGAGCAAGGATGGAACCTCAGGCAGCAGATCCACTAGTGTGAGGGAAGCTGATAAAGGGCACTGTCGACACCCAACCAAGACAGGGCAACCCAGACCCAAGGCAGGAGAATGGAACTGTAGGGTAAGGAAAAATGTCAGGCTTTTCTGCGCTCCCGCCATCAGGATAGATGATGGATCCTTGTGGTCCTGAATGCATGCCTGATGGCGGGCACCTGGAGTGGGGTGTGAGCATAGGTAGATGGGATTCACCTGGGCTAAGACTGTGCTTTTTAAGGGCGGCGTTGTGGGGACGCCAGTAGAAGCAGAAAAAGAAGCCAAGTACGAACAGAAGCCGAGAGAGAAGCAAGAGAAGCAGAGACCGAGAGAAGGCCGGAGAGCCCAGAGTGAAGACCTGCTGGGGGCTGGGAGGCCTGCCAGCCTACCGGCCCCCCAGTGCCCCTGCCTGCCGTGTACCTGGTAATCCTAATAAAAGACCTACAAAACCACTGAGGACTCTGACTCTTCCTTGACCCATTCTGCTGGATCATAGAAAACCTGCACTGTGTTCCATTCCTGACCCTACAGAGCCAACCAAAGGAAAACTGAAAGCCAGGTCAGAGCAACAGGAGCAGGCAAGGAGCTCCTGAAAAACCCCTTAGGCCATGGAAGGACACGAGAAGTCCTGTCTCCCTGGAGACCCTGCATGGGAAACAGCAGGAAGACATGTGTGGATGGCTCCCAGTGTCTGGGAACTCGGAGCCCCCAAAAGAACAGCCAGGGAGAGCAGGAGTCCCCAAGTGGGACGTTGGGGCATCAAAAGCTATGCTCAGCAAAGATTCCCTTTGTGCAATTGGCCTTCGTGAGCCCACGATTTGTGCCAGGTGGAGAGTCGTTAATGGTTCTGTAACTCACTCAGGGTGAGGAGCGGAGGTGGGAAGGACACAACCTATGATTAATAGAGGATGAGTTGCAGGAAAGGCCCGGATGTGTGTTTACAAGATGTCCAGAGTCCATGAGCGGCCCCTCCTGCATGCAGGGTCAGCCAGGAGGCAGTGCCTGCTCTCCACTGTCTCCCACTTCTGGGTACCTGAACCCCTGACTTATGGGCGCCCAGCTGGCCACGGGAGCACGGCACTCTGCAGCCAAGGGGCTGCATCTGCTTCTAGCCTGTCACCTTTCTGAGTGCCAAGTGAGAGAGAAGACATGGGAAAGAAAGGATGGGAGAAAGGCCCAGGAGAGAGAAAGCAAAACCTGTCTGAATCAAAGAGACAGAGAAAGTCCAGGAGAAGTCATAGACAGGGGAGGAAAAACAAAGTGCAGTGGGGTGAGTTAGAGAGGAAAAGGGAGATTCAGGGAAAGGAAAAGTGAGAAAAAGGAAACAAAAGCCAGAGGGAGGGGAGGCGCAGAGATCATCAAGGAAGAAGGTGCACGCATCCACTACCTACTAGGTCTGTGGGCACCAGCTTCCTGGCTCCTTCTTGGAGCACTCATTCTACAAATGGCTTCAAAGCAGGTCTTCCTAGCCAAGGATGTGAGTCCCCACATGGCCTGGTAGGGGGACCTCCTGCAGAGAAGGAGCTTCACTCTCCTTCCACAGTGAGCTTGAAGCAGCAGCAGGGGGAGGGTGGTAGAGGGCAGGTGTAGCCCATGAGGGCAAGATGGCAGGGGGAGGGGAGGAAATTGCTTCCTCCCCCCTTCAACTCCTCTCCCACCAGCACAGACACCCAACCTCTGCCCTATTTGTGCTGGGCGGGCCTAGGCAGGCAGAGCAATAAATCCACAGTGCCCACCGGGACAGGCAGGCCCGCTGAGCAACAGGCGGGGGCGGGGTGGGGGTGGGGTCCCCAGGGCTACCTGGACTAGGATTGATTTTGGGGAATCATGAGCCATGTGGGAACCCTGCCCACCCACCTGACATACTCGCAAGTGATTCTGACCCAAGGTCCTACATTAAACCCAAGGCTCACACACACACACTTTTCCCCTCACCAGAGTCCTCCTCAACTCTGTCACAAACAGCCACCTTCTGCATGCCCACCTCTCCCGCTGGAGGAGAGCCCTGAAGGAGAGCCGGGTACTTGGGGAAGAGGAGGATGGTACCCCTGTGATCCAGAGTCAGTGTGGGAAATGGCTTGAAAGCAAAGGCTGGTGTGGCCAGGCCTGCAAGCCGCTGGTCCCTGCAGTGTCCCAGAGAGCAGAGTCCAAGTGCCAGGCCCAGCAGACAGACATCAGCCAACTACTCACCAAGGGAAAGTCAGGACCAGGAGGACATGGCCTTGGCAGGAACTGTTTACCCCACACCACTGTCTAGGTATGGGGCAGCTGGCTCAAGCACCCTCATGAGTGACCCCCGGCCCCTATGATTATCTTCACCACAGAATCGGAAGCAAGAGCAGCGCAAGAAGCATGCGCTGACGCTAACATGGTGTGTCCTGGAGCAGAAGCCAAATTCCATTACATGGGACAGTCCCTTTCCTAATGGGAGACATTTCCCCTAAAGTGTCTCCTTTAAGGAAAGGAAACCTGGTTTCAACTTCAGTTCTTATGGGTGTCCTAATCCGGGTATTCTGTCTGGCCTGGGGATGCTCCTCCTGTCTCGGCTCCTTGGTTAGGGCTGGAGGAATCTTGTCCAGATGTCTAGGGGAGGAAAAACTGGGCCATTCCTGCCGGGTCTCCCCGGATCAAACTCTCCCTCACGAGGCTGTCCTGTCCTGCTCCAGAGGAAAAGCACTGCCTCTGGTTTTTGTGGGAGGGGGCCGCTCAGGGGGAAGCAATAATCTCTATTTGCTCAAGCCCACAAAGGAACCAGACTTCTCTCCACCGCTTTCCCCCACCCCAACCCACTTCCTTTCCCCACCCACTTCACAGGTACCCAACAAGAAGAGAAACAAAGATACTTACATTATACCAACTCTGGCTTTTCTGCAAGAACAAAATAAAAAAAGAAGGTAAAATTAGTCAGGGAAGAGCTGGTGGGAATGGCCAGCATGTTCTTGGCTCCAGAGGGGAGTGACACAGACAGCAGAGGGCGGGCAGGGAGGAGGAATCCAAACGCAGCTAATGCTCCCCATGTTGCTGCTCAAGAGGGGTCCTCCTTTCACAAGACAGTTCCAGAAAGGAGGCCCGGGGAGCAGCCCATGCTGGAAGCCCCGCCGCGGTCAGTCAGTGGGTGGGTGGCAGGCAGCGGCAGCACCGGCTACGGCTCCACTGGGGGGAGTGGGCCGGAGCCCCATCACAAGGTTCTTCTGATGGGGTGAGGGATGCACTGCAGGCATCCAAGACCCAGTCCCCAATGGGCCCTGACTAGAAGCAAAGGGCACGGAGACGCGCGAGCCTCCCATTCCCTGCCCATCCCTCTGTCGAAGGAAGGATGGGAACGTCTGCTGGAGGGGAAGAGAAGGGATGGCCGGGAACCTTCCTCCAAGTGTGTTCTCAGCCAACAGATGAGTAAATCCCTCCTGCCCAACAACAGTCTGATGCCTGATGATCACAATGTCAGGGGGGCTGTGGGGGGCTCTGCATGGGTGGGAGGGGGACATCTACCTGCTACAGATTCTGCCCGATACCTACTCAGCACCGACAGCAGCGGACCTGCCCCAGCTCCGGGGTTCTGCATTCCCAGCCCTTCATGGCAGCTGAAGGTGTTTTAGGGAGACAGGGGGCGAGCTAAGACTGCAATTTGCCTCTGATCTCTACGACCAGGAGTTCTTTTGGGATGTGGCACATGGAAGCTAGACAGGCAGGCACGCACGCTCTCTCTCTCTCTTTTTTTTTTTTTAAAAACATTTGGGTTTCTTTTTTTATTTTTCTTAAAGATTTATTTATTTTTATACAAAAACCGGGGCAGAGGTCAGAGGCATGGAAGGGTGAGCGGATTCACCAGAAACAGAGCAGGGAGCAGAACAGGCGGAAGGACTGAAATACACTGCTGAGGGGAGCAGCAGGTGCTACAGGAAAGGTCTGTTGCACCATGTGGGTGTCTCCCTGGCTGGCTAGGAATCAAACCCACGCTGCAGAGACAGCTTCACGGTGCTGCGCTCAACCCACTGCACCACCAGGGAGGCCCCTCTCTTTCTTGCCAAGTCCTTGTCCCGTGAGGTGCTGATTCAACAGGTCTAGGTAGGGGCTGGTATTTTCTGTTTTAAACATTGTCAGGGGTGTAATTAAGTCGCTGAATCACTGGGTAGAGGGAAACTGCCTGCAGGTCAGCATCGTCAACCAGCCACAGAGGGTTGGTTCTTGGGCACAAGTTAGTGGACTGTACCCCACCAACTGGGGTCAGGGCCGACACAGAAGGGAAGAGGGCAGACGCTGTCTGGCAGGACAGAGAGTGGGTGAGGGTGAGGATGGGAGGACAGTCTCCTTGCCTGCACTTTTCCTGCCTCCAGATGTGTGCAGAGACCTTCAACCTTCCCACCAAGGGGAAAGGTGTGGAAAGAGGGGAGACAGCATGGGAGAGAGAGGGTTTGTTTCATCTCACACCCAGCCTAACTGGCCAGAATATGCCTTGGAACAGGGGGATATGGATGACAAGGCAGGTCTCAATGTCCCTCTGCAAGATCCTGGATCATTCTGCAGCAAAGCCTGCTACCAATGAGAGGTCACAGAATCCCTTCTCTTCTCCAGCTGAGAGGTCTTAGTAGATAAAGGGACTCAATCCAAATACTCAAAGCCAACAATTTCACTGCTGTGATGAACAGCTCAGAGCAACTGTGTGGGAATCCTGCACCCAGAACTGACTAGCCTGTGTGCATTTCTGCTAAAGTGCCCCACATCTGGATGTGAGTGGATGGGACAAGGGGGCTGTACCTGTCCTTATCTGCATCTGGGATGGCTTCAGTACTGGATTCTGACTTGGAGATCACAGGACCCAAGGGTGGGTGACCCAAGGTCTGCCCGCATTTCATGAAACCCAAGCCAGGAAACCTGCGTCACAGCACAGAAAACTGTCACTGGCAACCATGCTCCTCACCCCTTTGTCTGGCCTTCATGTCAGACGCAAGAGGCAGCAACAGCAAGTTGGGCTAGGTGGGAGAACCCACAATCCATCATGATTACTCTGCAGAGTGACCCCCACCACCTGCCTCCAGCAAACCCCAGTACCATGTACTGGCAGGTGTGCATATCCCTTTTGAATCTGGAATAAAGTGCTTCCCCAACACAGAGTCCCAACCGAGGAACCCCCCCGACCCACCATCAGGAGCAAAGACTTCTGTCCCTCAGTGTGGGACTCAACCCCTAACCAGCTGTCTCTGGGGACACTGGCTCCTCCCCTCCAGCCAAATTCACAGAGGCTGTTAATTACCCACTGTGGGCGTGAACCCCAAACTCTGAGTGGTGTCTTAGAGGCAAATCTGATACTCACAGCCAGCTCTGCATTCCCAGGAGTGAGTCCCAAAGGAGCTACCTGACAGCAAGAGACCAGCTCAGGGGCGTAGGGAGGCCAGAGGGGCCACAGTTGGCCCCAGTGGGACTGAAGCTATTCTAGGCTGAAATACTCCTCCTGGCAGAGGCCCGCGGCAAGTAAAGAACAGAACTAGGGGATGGGGCTGCAGGGTTTGCTGACAAGTTATAAGTAGGATTTGGTTAAAGCAATTTTGGAAGAAAATCGCCCCAAAGGCAGAGCTATAGGGGCAGGGACCCAAGCAGAACAGGCTTCTGTTGGCTGCTAGAAGAGGTGGGAAGAGCGAGCACTTAACGGAAGGCAAACCCCCTGGAAACACACCAAGTTGCCTAAAAATATCTCCCAGTAAAAAGGTCAGGGGGTCTGGGAGATGGAGGGTGGGAATAAGAGTTCCACATTTAGTAGGAGTTGGGGGAAAAAGCAACTTCTTACTTTGATCAGCTTAAGTCTGTCATACTGGAAAGAAAACCACACAAATTAGGATTGAAAAATGGGTCATGTCCAGAGGAAAAGGCAAGTCAGAGCCACAGAGCCAGGGGACTCCAGCCTGAGCAGGAATGGGTCTGGGCACTGCCCCAGCAGCCAGGGCAGAGGCCCGGGGAGTTGAGGAGCTGGTGGGGCAGGGAACAGCCACTGGCTCCCTCTGGTGGCCATAGGCCATCACTACAGCATGGAAGGGGGGGTGGTGGCACCAACTCAAAGGCTCCTGGGAAGTGGAAATAAGTGCAATGCCTTCTAGCCCAAGGCTTCTGTTAGGGGTGCACAGGAGAGGAACCTAAGATGACATAGACCACTCACCACAAATGAACACATGAGGAAAAGGAGGCCCAGAGCTGAGGAGTCTGAATCTGTGGGAGGCCTGACCAGGGACGCACTCTCTGGCTGATGGAAACACGAGGTCACCTCCTCTAGACAGGGAGTGAGGAGGCCTTGCTGCAGTACTAGTGACAATAGTTCTGACCCCTCTGCCATGAGATGTGTGATCAAGCTGAGACAATGTGAGGGGGCGGCGGCTACCCAAAGCCTGGAACTCACAGCAGAGTCCACGGGGAACACACACTGCCTCAGACAAGCGCTTCTAAAGACAGCTATCCCCATTCATCTCCGTGGGGCATGGCGCCCGGATTAACCCACTGTGCACACTCAGCTTTTGGGCCCTTATTCAGGACTCATTTTTGCCTCTCGAAGTCTCACTCAAAGCTCCACCTGCTCCCTGGCTGGCCTGGTTCCCCTGTCTCTGAATTCATATAACGTCCGCAACTACTCCTGTGGTGTCAAGAGTTGGTCTCGTATTATAGATAAGCTGGGTTTGATTCTTCTCATTCCTTCTGAAATGTACACTGCTCCTGGGAGTGGGACCTTGGTCTCCTTTCCTGAAGACTATTCAGGACATTTAAAAGTCCTCAGTACTGGGTACTCACCTCACCCCATCACCGAACAAGACAGGCACCCTGTAAGTGGTGGTGAATGACCAGACCTCAATATTGCTCTCTCTGAGGGCCTTGCTAGGCTTGGGTAGGAAGGTTGAGAAAGCTGAGCGCTTCGCCTTCCAAGCATGCCTCCACCATGGGCAGAAGCAGAGAGGACTGGCCTGAAGACCCTGCCTGCAACAGGGCTGAGGGGGGACGTGTGCAGACACACTTGGGAAGGGTGGAGAGGCCCTGTCACTGTCCTCTTGGCCCTGCCTCCAGCCAGAGGTGTGAGGGGCTCAGAAGGGCTGGCAGGGGTTATTTCAAAGCCCCGGGCTCCAGACCTCCCTGTACCTGCCAAGCCAAGTAAAGCCACAGAGAACCCGTGTGGCTTCCTCTATAGCCAGGAACAGTGGCTGAATATCTCTGAGCCAAGATGCGCTGTTAGCCTGAAGGTCACACACTAGAGGATTAGCCCTGGAGCCTCCCGTTCTTCCCTCAGGAAAGAGAACAGCTGTTCACCCTCCTCCTCCTCCTCCAAACACTTAGAAGCTTGAGACTATTATTAAGTCATCCCTCAGCTTTCTCTCCTTCAGGCTACATCCACCCCCTTCCCTGTGGGTATTATTTCCTGAGCCCTGCTGGTCTAAAATACCTATTGCTCACTCTCAGCTCTCTGCAAAGGCTCCTCAGGAGTCTGAAGGCCTGGGGCAGACTTGCACTGCCTCCCTGACCTGGCCGCACATCTGCAGGGCTCAGCAGGGGTTACTGTCCACATTCCCCTTTGGTGGGGTGCTGACATCATGCCGTCCGGGAGAAAATGTCCCCTCTGATCCCCATCCAGTATCCTAAGAACCAGAAGCTCCCTCCCCAGGGTTGGGCAGGGGGTGAAGCAGTAAGGGGTGCTTAGGCACAGCTGCTCTCAGCAGACAGGAAAGGTGAGCCCAGGTAGTGCTCCTGCGGTCACTCTATAGCAGAGAGCTCAACTCACGGGAATTCATAACCTTCAGTCAATTTGCTGGGAAACCAGGAATCACCCACTAAAGCAGGTAGAAGGGGGTCTCAGCACGTGCAGCCTGACCCATTGGGGCCTCCTTCTCCAAAGGAATGAAAGGAACCCCTGGCAGGGCTCTGCTTCTAGAAGGTACCATGTAAGGAGGGAATAGATTCCCAGCCTGAGGAAGTGTTTGGGGAGCAGGCAGAGACATGGGGGTGGGGTGTGGGGGACAGGTCTGTTCTCAGACTTTGGTGCAATGGGAATGGTCCCTCCGTGACTTCAAGCCAGCCTGCCAGGGGGCAGTGTGTAGGGTCAGCCCCCTGGGAAAGGGACCAAGCAAGACAGGGGCCAGAGGGGCAGGACAGGGACAGGGCGGGTTGGGGGGGGGGGCGGGGGCAGAGCACTGCAGACAAGTTAACACTGAGGGAAGACCAAAGACAAAGACAAAAGATGGCTTACTTTTGAGAGGCGCTTGTGAGACTAAGACCATGCATGCAAAGAAGTATTTGGGAAATGGTGGGGAAGAAGAGGAAGAACAAGAAATCAAAAAGACAAATTCAGGTGGGACGCAGGGTCCCCACCAACCCTCCCCCTCCCAGCCTCATGAGTCCAGCAGGGAAGGGAAGCTTGTAGAAGGAACCTCCAGGCAAATACATCTACTTCCCACAGGGCGAGGGGGGAACGTGTGCAGACACACTTGGGAAGGATGGAGAGGCCCTGTCACTGTCCTCTTGGCCAGATGAGCACCAAATGGGTTAGTACCAAAGGTAAGGATGATGGCCAGGGCTGAGGCTAAAATAGCATTCTGGAACATTCCCTGAGGACTCTCTTCCTGGCACTATAGTTGTCCCAAATAATGTTCCCTTAGACCCCAAATTTGAGAAAGTGTCAGGACTAAAGGAATGACTCCTGCTGATCCCCAAACATCCCTCTTCCAAGGTCTGTGAGGCTCCCTAGTTCCTACAGAGAGATACAATCTTCGTGGAATCATTTCACATTGCCCTGGGGCTCTCGGAGTGTCTAGCCCAGGAGTTAACATTTAACTAGAAAAAAATTCAATCTTCTCTCCTGCTCGCCCTCCCACCCCCCATGAATAAAGACTATCTGTGGGACACTAGGGCTGGTCCCTGGAGGAAGGGGTTCTTCCCTCACAATCCCCCATCACCTGCTTCCCTGCAGCCAGCTCTAAGTACAGAGGCCCCAGCAGGCTCCAGCTCACCTTGGAATTTTTGCCACCACTGCGGCCCGACTGTGAGGAGCAGCTGCGCTGCACGCCCTGCTCGGGTGTGGACGGGGACTTGTCCGAGGAGTGATCTGAGCCCTTCTCCACCATGGTGTCTCCGTCGGGGTTCTGTGGGGTTGGCGAGCGAGACCGCTTCCGGAGGATGGGGGAGCAGGCGGGCGTGCTGCGGTTTGAGTTACTGGCAGTGCTGCAGGGGCAGATGGAGAGAGGGAGCAGGGTAGAGAGGGAAGGAGGTGGGGAGACAAGCAGTCAGTGATTGAAGGCCAAAGAGGGGACCCCAGGAACCAGCTCAGGGTTTGGGAGAAATGGGCTCAGCTATGGACTGATTACACCGTAATACCGCTGCTGGCCAGGAGAGGGCGGTGGTGCCAATGTGAAATGCAAGGGAAGTCACGGGTAAGCAGGGCAATTAGACAGAAACATCAATCCATCAGGGATCCGCCTAGCATCCCTCCAGATATTGTTAGGGCCCCTTTATATGCCAAGATCTGTCCAGGAAGAACTGGATTTAAGAGCTGAATGAAATGAGCTCCTTAGAGTCACCTAATGCTATCAGCTCATTTTATAGATGCTGCAAATCCAATGTCTACCCTATTTTGGATTTGTCCCCTAAAAATAAACAATAATCCTACTTTCAAAGCATATTATTTCACTGGGCTTTAAAACACCCCATCGAGGTAGTAATGACAAGTACCATAATCCAGGTTTTTATTTTTTTCAAATATAATTTCTATTAATATAAAGGCCAATGAAAGGTAGAGAGAAGTTCAGTATCTTTGGGTCACAGAGGTCTTCTGACTTGTCACTCAGCATACACCATATTATTCCCCTGTGAGCCATCTCGGTTCCTACTGCCCCTGCCCAGGGTACAGGGGAACACAGCTTAAGTTCTCACATTCCACGTGCCCTTCCCCCCAAATTCATTTCCTACAGATACCTGATTGTCCCATAGTACCGAATCCACTAACACCAGAGCCTTATCAGCTGTATAAATGTTTAGTTGCTATTTAGCTTGTGTTCCCAGTGTTATAGGAGAAGAGATAACGAAAGGAAAAGGAGAGAAAAATTGAATGCGGTTAAGTTTAATAGGTGTTTGCTTTGCTCTAAAAGAAAGGAGGGAGGAAAAAACATTAAGAAAGAAATGGGGGACATGGGAAGGAAAGCAAGGACTGGAAAACCATAGAAGCACAAGTGGAGTGGGAGGGCCCCTCTCACCCCTCAGCAGGGAGAAAGCAGGAGGGTCAGACTCTGGAAACAGTCAGGACTGAGAACACAGGTGCTTTCCCAGCTGCCCTGTGTGAGGCAGGAACACTGTCATTTGCATGAAGATCCAGCTGCCACCTTAAATGTCCCATTGCACCCATTTGCAATGAAAACCAGGTCCCATTCAGCAGAACCTTACACCTAGGGATCCTCAGCAGAGAAAAAGGGAATGAGCCCCAGAACCTAAACCAGAGAGAGCAGAGAGGGGGGCAGTGCTATATTTGTGGAAGGAATCTGATGGCAAGAGGGAGAAAAAGAGACCAGAGAAGTGGAAGGCATGTGTGATCAGAGACTACAGGAAGGCTCGGCATCTTGCTCCATCCTCTAAGAGAATTTACTAACAATAGCTATGATTTGGTGAAAGAGTCTTCAAGTTCTCACTGCGTCCCCACCACCCTTATCCAGACTCTCTGGCATCTAGTCCTTGAGAGAGCTGGGGAGGGCAGAAAGTGTAACCTGAAGAAAATTCACTCCAGCTCTCTCAAAGCCCGTGAATGGCTAACTCAATGATGGGCGTGCCCAAGAGGTCCCCTCATCCCCTAGGGAACCCAGGCACATCCTTCATGGGCCACCCTTGGACACTAAAATTCTGCTTTCATTTCATCAGGCAATAAACAACTTATACCGTCATTTGCCACTTTTCCCCCTCAGTGCTGTTAAGGTTGTGGATCACCTGCGTGTTTCTTGAAAAATCTTTCCTCCGTCCCCTTTCCTCTATTCTTCTTGCTGCTTCAGCCACTTGCTACGCCACCTGAAATTTAAACGTTCCCCAAAGGGGAGCGAGTCCTTCCCTGCCCAAGTCCTCTCCTGCGTTCTATGACTTTAAGTATACCTCGAAGAAAAGCCCTCTTGTCCCTGGCTCAGTTCCGATCACACTCATTAGCTTCAGCCCAGCCCTCCACACCACTTTCGCCTCCTCCAAATGGAGTCTCCCAAACACCTCAGATACAAAACAGAGCCTGCCACCTTCCGCCCTCGACTGCCCATTCTCAAATCCTAGCCTGACTGCAACCCCATCTCTACCATTTCATCCCACAAAAATGGCAATTCTATTTCCTAAAGCTCCTTAACCCCGTCTACCTTTCCATCCCAAGGGCCCTAGTTCAGGTGTTCGGTGCTTCTTGCTTACACTCTTCCCTTAGTGGTCTAAGTGGCCTCCCCCATCTTCTTCTCTTCCATTCTCCTTAACATCTTTGCCATCAAATCTGTCTAAATATAAGCCTCAACTAGTATCCATATTTAGTATCCAAAATCTTCAGAATCATTTGACGTAAAGTTTATTTCAATACTCTTGCTCTGACTAGGCTCTTAAAGAGCTCCCAGATTCTAGTCCTACATAGATATGGTTTTATTATCTTTTATTATCCCAGGTTTTATTATCTTTCTCCTGTTTCTAGAGTTCTGTACCACTTACACATGTGTGTATGAAGAATCCGTTCCCTCCAAATCAACCTCCTGGAGTCTGGTTCATCCTTTAAGACCCATCTCAACTACCACCTTCTCCAGAGCCTTTCTGCATCTCAGCCACGGAATTGACTAAAGCATTTAACACTCTGCCTGGTGCTGAGGTTAAGATCAGCACACTCCTGGAGCCTCAAGCCTTTGTACCTCCCACCCCGCCCAGCATGGCGCACAGAAGAGATAGGGAGTATGCGCAGGGTCTGCTGACTTGAATCTCATTCCAGCTAAGGTTTTCAGTCCCGTGGCTTTAACAGCCTTGGGTATCACGACAGCTCCAAAATGTACACCTCTAGCCTGTTATTAATGAAAATAGTTAAGAGTTTGTGAAGGTTTGCATTCTTGGCACTGTGCCAAGCACTTATGACGCATTATCTCATCTAATCTTCCCAGTCAACCTCTGAAGTATTCATGAGTATTATTATGGTCCTATTTTTTAGGTGATAAAATTGTATTGACAGACTAAAAGTAACTCATCCAAGTCATGTGGGTAGGAAAGGAGCACAACAGAATCTGAAAACACAGGCTGATCTGATGAATAGAGCTTGTTCTTAGAACCAAGCTTCCAACAGCATGACTAGGTAGCAGAACAGACAAGTAGCAAGATGGATAGAAAGAGCTACCTGCCTCCAGTTTTCACCCACTCTTTACCTTGCAGTCAAAGTCAATTTCCTAGAAAATGAGTTTGCCATTCTTAATATTTATTTATTTATTTATTTGTACAAGCACTTGGTACAGTCAGAAGTGCGGGAGGGTGAGAGAATTCACCAGAGCCAGAGCGGGAGGCAGAGCAGACAGAAGGACCGAAGTACACTGCTGAGGGGAGCAGCGGGCGGCAGGAGAGGTCTGCGCGCCATGTGGGACCCTCCTCTGGTGGCCGGGGAGCAGCCGGGGATTGAACCGGCGCGGCAGAGGCTGCGGGCAGCTTCGCAACCCAGCGCTCAACCGCTGCGCCACCGGGGAGGCCCAAGTTTGCCATTCTTGACCATCTTCTCCTCTGATAAAGCTGTCTCATGGATTCCTATCCCTTGGAATAAAATCTGAACTCTATGTTACAGAGTCTCCTCAACGATCTTACTCTAAGATCCCTCTAAAACTCCACCTCTGGCTACTCATCTTGGTGCAACCTGCTCAGTGGTCAATGCATAGACCCTTGTACCACACTCTTGCATTCTACACATCTGATGCAGTCACACGTGCTCTCTCTTGTTCTGAAATGCCATGTTCCCCCTTCAATCACCCAACCAACATTTACATTTACATTAAAAAAATTAGCTCAAGTATCCCCCTTAGCCCAGGCCCCATGCTCCATCTCCGTTCTGGTTTTCACAATACAAGAGGAGATACTTAGAGGTACAGCTCTAACTCAGTAAAGTCACTATTAGACCAGCTAGACTTTTCAAACACTTGAAAAGTCTCCCCGATTATCCTATAGATTTGAATGTCCTCCTGAGCAAATAAAACCAAGTCCCCTAACATCATTTGTATCTCTCAAACTCTACAATGTGCCATTAAAATGATCCTGCCACCTTTAGTAGTAACAGTATTGCATTGTGTTTCAAAATCCTAGGATTTTAAAGCTAAAAAAGACCTTAGCTTTGCCATAGAATGGGAAGGAACTATTGGACTAATTAAGACCCCATTCCAGAGTTTGGGATCAAGATATCCAACCCTCGACTTCGTATAAGAAACCCAAGAAACAGGGAGGCTCTGTGTCTGGCCCAGGTGAAGTGACTTCATATCTGGTTCTTCTTCGACAACATATACTGAATCCCTGGCATAACACTAGGCTTTCAGGTTCTTATTGATGAGTGAGAAGTGCTTATAGGAGGAAGAGCTTAGCATTTAAAGGTGAGCAATGAAGAAAGCAGAGAGAGGAAAGGAATCAAAATCAGACTTGAGAGATCAAGATAAGGTCTCCTTGAGGCTATGGCACTGGAGCTGGGTTCTGAAGAAATGAATTAAGAGTTAGCCAGGCTAAGTGTATGTGGTTAGGGTGGGGATGATAGTAGGAGGTAAGATTATCCACCCCCCAAAACCTACTCATGAGGAAATGTATGAGCATTCCAAGAAATGGTCTTGAAGCATAATATGCCTAAGAGAATCCTGTAGCCATCAGCTCCCCCAAGCAAAGGGGCTCCCACCAGCCTTTTAACTCAGTACAGGGGGGCCCCTATGTCATTTGCTCCCTTCTCATCGCATCCCATCTGTGTTTAAGACTCCTAACAAAAGGTCTTTCACTATTTCACTCCTCTCCTGGCCATCCAATAACAAATAGAACTTAAATCTGACTATTGTACCTCATGTTACAATTTGATTCTATTTCCTATGGTTATCTGGCTGAAGTCCTTGAGAAAGAAAGACCCAGGAAAAGAGGATACAGGTTCTTCGGGCCTGTGTAGTGACTCATTTTGCAGCATTCCCCACCCCCATCAGGGCACCCAACCCCCACTTTGCTTGGCTTCTCTGAGCCTATATCTGCAGTATATCTGCAGGCACAGGTGGACCTTGTCAGCATGCCAGCCCTCTGATCAGTCAGCCATACACTTTTGGGAACCCTGAGCAGAGCAGAATAGTAATTTGGTGTTCCATGTTCCTCATTCAGGGTAACTTATTTGCCTTCAGAGAAATCAATCATATCTGCTCCAGCGATTGCCAAATATGGGTGTGTCGCTCTGCATGCCCACCGGCTTGGAGGGTAGCAGCACCTTGGCCATATTCCTGCCTTGGGGTGCTCCACCACCCCGGTTCATTCCCAATTGTACCTCAACCCTGCTCTCCACCCCCGGACACTGTGTACATGTCAGTGTTTCCCCCACGTCCACCCCTGATCTAACCTGGATGAGCAAATGGATGGCTGTCACACAGCCAGGGCCCTGGCAATATTTTTACAAACTGCCTGATACATTCCAGGGCCCGCCAACATTATAGAAAGAGCATTTAATTAGAAATTTAGAAAGGCTGTTTAAAATGAAACATTTATTTGCTGTGGGCCTGCTTGGGCCATACATGGTGGGGATTACTTGCTTGTCCATGTGGTCAGCAGGCCCGAGTTTGAGGCCCAGCTCTGCCACTTGTTGTGTGATCAGCTCTTAAGCTTCATTTTTCCCATCAGAAAAAATGAGATACTAGTACCTATCTCTGTTGTGTTAAATGAAACAACATAATTCAAATGTTTTTGCACAGTGCCTGATACATAATGAATGTTCAGTATTACTGACTTGCAATGGTTAAGACGATTGTAGTTCCTTGCTATAAAATGTGAAATAAATACCCTTGCATTCTGTCTTCACAGGGTTATGAGGACAGGCTTCGCATGCTACAAAGCATCACTTTTTTTTTTTTAAGATTTATTTATTTATACAAGCACTGGGGTACAGGCCAGAAGCGCGGGAAGGTGAGAGAGTTCACCAGAGACAGAGCAGGGAGCAGAACAGGCAGAAGGACCGAACAACACTGCTGAGGGGAGCAGCGGGCGTGACAGGAGAGGTCTGCTGCTCCATGTGGGAATCTCCGCTGTGCTCAACCTGCTGTGCCACCGGGGAGGCCCCAACAAGCATCATTTCCCATAGTGGGGACCAGATCTGTCTACCTGGGGTGCTCCCTGACAGTGTAGCATACCAGCCTCACCTCTACTCAATAAATGAAAGTTTCCAAGGAGAGGATCTGAAGGATCTACATTTTAAACAAGGATCATAGCTGATTCCAAAGCGCTCCCAAATTTGCGAACCACTGCTCCCAAGGACCAATCTTCTAAGTGTGAAGAGATAAGTGGGTGTCTGTGCCAGATGCCAGGAACCTGCTTATAACTCTGAGTGTATCAGCTGTTCAGTGTCTACCAGGTAGATGGAACAGTTTATAAGCTGTGCTTGTCACAGGTGATACCAGTGGAGAAGAACCTGAAGTTGAATTGATGGGGAATGAACAAGAGGAGGATGTGATTCTCAGCAGCAGTGGAGTCTCTGCCCACAGCCACATTACTGGCACCTCATCCCTCTCTGCCTTTAGTTAGCTTCTGGTTAAAAAATCTGATTTGAAGTCTCGAATTTCTTAATTCCCAACAGAGGACTATTCTGTTATCCAGCTACATACCTCCCATCCCCATGATCGTTAGTTTTTTCATCAACAATCCTCCTTAGTTCTTTAAAAGAGCACGACAAGTATCCAAGTGACTCAGCAAGCCCCACTTTGAATTTTCCCATAGCAAACGTGCAAGTATCCCAGACAGGAAGACCACAGGTGCATTTGCATAACATTTGCATGAAATTTATAGACTGCCTGCAAAGGCCTCCATTGGTAGGTCTGCCCACCAATTGTTTTTCAATTCCTCCCTGTTTCCCTGCTTGTTAAGTAGCAGTGTCTGTCCCCTCATGAAAGCAGAGCACAGAAGGGGAACGTGGCCCAAATCACAAGCAGGGTCCCAAATTCTCTCTGACCCTCCTCCTCAGGGATCAAAATACCAACTCATATAGAAGGGATCATGCTCAGTGAAATAAGCCAGAAAGAAAAAGAAAAATACTGGATGGCCTCACTCACAGCAGGAATCTAGAAAACCTAAATAAGGGACCAGGAAAAAGACTAATTTATTATAATAAAGTAAAAATCAAAATCAACAAGCAACTATAAACCAGAGACATACTACGGGGTGAGGGTGGGGGGCGGGGAGAGAGAGGAAGAAGGGTTGAGAAGGGAAAAGGATCAAAACAAGGGGGGTGGGAATTGTATGGGGACTATAACTAAGATGAAAATGCATACATTGCGCAAAAATGAAAAATGATGTAAAAAATATATAAAATTTAAAAAAAAATACCAACTCATATAAAAAGAAAAAAAAAGTTCCCAGGCCTGTTTCCTTGTCATAAGGTCCTGGAACTCCTGGGTTTGGCCATCCTTACCCATGAAAAAAATAAAACCGCAGTCTCAGATCCCCAAGATGACAAGTACAGATAGAGAAGAGTCGGAAGGGCTACCCCAGGCCTGTCCTCTCACAGCGAAGGATGGAAGCCTGACCAGAGAGACAGCTCGTTGAGGGGTCAAGAGGTAGTCTGACCCTTGATGGCCCGACCAGGGGTACTCAGCAGGAGACAGTTCAGTGCACACAAGACTTCTTAGGGCACTGGATGGAGTGGGGATTTGAAAGGATGACTAGGCCCACTCTTGGTGGGCCTATCTCTTGGATTCTAAATCTGCCATTGGGTCCAATTCTTTCTCTAAGGGAGGAAGCCAGCAGTGTCAAACTGTGACCACCCGGGTGAAGAAAGGGGCCAGACAGCTTTGAGGAGAGATGCTTTGCCCCTGCTGTTGTTTCTCCAAGGTAGAGGTTCTACTCCCAACTTACACTAAAGCAGAGTCACAGCCAGGCCCAGATGCCACACACTTTGGTCTATGTTCAGCAGCCCGATGTGTTTCAGCAAGGGGTGGCGAAGGAGCAGGCTTGGGTAAGAACTCCTTTCTTTCCGATCACAGCTGATACAATGCAGCTGCTGGGCCTGACAAAATGGACCTCCCTCAACTGCTGCAAGAGCAAGATTTTGAAAGAAGAAGACTTTGTTCTCTTCTCTTGTTTGGGTAACTTGATGAAATTCCCTGGGGGTTTTACAAATGGACCCTTTGAGTAAGACATACAAGGTATTCGGAAACAGGTTGTGTCTGACATTTGGAACCAAGCAGTTGGAAACCAACTGTTGCCAGGTCAGACCACTGGCATAGACAGTTAACAAAGTCCGACAATTTGCCAGACTCACTTAACTGGCCACTCAAGCAAACACTGGCTCACAGTATCCACACTGGCCCTTGACCCACCCTCTCTCTGCACTCTGTCCCTCACTGGCCCATCTCTGTAGATACTGTGATAATTCAGAGCACCTTCTATGGTCAACAAGCTCCACATACCCTGTCTTCCTCTTTCCTATCTTGTTTACGTATCAATGGAAATATTTTTTTTAAACTTATAAGGGGAATGAAAGGTGCAGAGCCGCTTGAAAATATTTACGGCCAACTAATTGAATACTTAGCTTCAGTCTCACTGGGGATCTACTTAACCCTGCAAGGAATTATTTGATGTGGGGAAAGTGCTACAGGTGACCTCAGGTGGTGATGAGTTTATTAACTGGCCAATCAACATGAGGGCAAGGTCCATGGGAAGTCTCTGTACAAGCAGAGGAAAGCAGACTTCGGGTGCCCTTCTCCTGGTGTTCTCAGACCAGAGAGGTCATGGGTGGAGAGAGGGCTAGAGACCGGGCAGTAGCTGCAGGCCTGTTCTGCTCGAGCCCGAGAAAGATCCCCCTCACTGCAATGTTGGAGCACCCCTCCATCCTGCTCCCCCACTCCCTGGCTTTCCTGCAGCTTCTGTTCTGCCCAGAGTTTGGAATTCAATCCAGGAACAGGCATGACAAACACTATTTTTCATTTCCATGGAGACCAGGGCCTGCAATAGAACCAGGACTCCATGCCTGAAATGCCCAAACAGCCTGACCCACTTTTCCCCCTTCCTCCAAAAACAAAGTAAGTTTGTGTGGGCCCTGCAGAGCTAAGGGAGAAAGCAGAGTTCCTGTTATCTCTGTGGACATTTTGAAAAGGAACAAATGATGACAGCCTTGAAAACTCAGCTGGAGGTGCTTCTAAACCTGTGGGAAGTCGGACATGATATGTTTTACCCTTGGGGCTCACGGGTCACGCCAAATCCACTCTACTTCCTGTTCCTAGCCTTCTGGAAGGATAGATTCATAGCCCCTAGGAGATATCCTCAATGACCAGTACACCAACTCCTTTTGGAATCCAATCCCTGGAACTGTTACCTCAACTCATTCTTATACCATTCTCTCCCTCTACCCCAGCCTCCTCGGACCATTCTGTGCCTTGAACACACTAAGTCCACATGTGTCCCAGGATATTTGCACATGTTGATCCCTGTCCAGAATTTTGAATTTTAACCTTGGCTTCACAGCTCAAATGTCCCCTAACCTAGCATTCCATCTAGGGCAGCCTCCCTAATTCCAGGTAATCATCATCATATCTAGGTACAATTTCAGGAGCTGCAATTGTCCTGGTTTTGTTGTTGCTGGAGTAGTTTATCTCTAGAATGAACACTCCCTGGGGACGGTTTTCCCGGTGTCTTCATCCGGCACAATGACTGGCACACACAAGGGTCACAGGTATGTATCACATGAACAAAGGAATGAGCTCCTTTTAAGGTACTGTTCAGCCACTTTGAGGCTGTTCCATACCTGCCTCCCTGTAACACCAGCTGTAGATTCTTATTCTGACTTCTGGATCCATGAAAACCAAAATATGGCCTTATTTCCAGACTCTGCTGCCTTGGTTACTTTGCCTAGACATCAGCACACATGACCTTAAGTCCTTAGCCATTATGTGCCCTTGAGCAAGATCACTGTATCTGCCTGTGCACCTGTGTCTCATATGTACGCTGGTGGTGACCACAACTGACCTTAAGGGTGAGGCAAAATCTTTTTAAAAAATTAGCTAACTAGGGCCTCCCCGGTGGTGCAGCGGTTGAGTGCTGGGTTGCGAAGCTGCCCGCAGCCTCTGCGGCGCCGGTTCGATCCCCGGCTGCTCCCCGGCCACCAGAGGAGGGTCCCACATGGCGCGCAGACCTCTCCTGCCGCCCGCTGCTCCCCTCAGCAGTGTACTTCGGTCCTTCTGCCTGCTCTGCTCCCCGCTCTGGCTCTGGTGAATTCTCTCACCCTCCTGCGCTTCTGACTGTACCCAGTGCATGTATAAACAAACAAGCAAACAAACAAACAAATAAATAAATAAAAACATGCCTCTATTAAAAAAAAAAATTAGCTAACTAGATAGTGCATCCCCCAAATAAAGGGCTTCCTATAGTTGCTCACGGAGCAAAATCATGACAGAAGTAGAAATTGAATTCCCAGTTAAGAAACTGAATCCTATTTCTAAATGTTTCCCTTGCGCGTGGTAGCAAGACTGCTGCTATTCACACCTTCAGAGTGTCCCTACTGCCACAGGGCTGGGGGAATAAAGATTTGAGATGAAGCAGAAGATACTGAAATTAAATGTAGGAACCTATTGCTGAGGTACGATTTTTGTTTCCTTTTCCTGTCCCTCCAGGACAAGCATCTAATATTTGGGGAACAGTCCTGTGGGTGTGCAGGCAGTGCTGGCTGAACTGATCTCAATGATTGTAGCTTGGAAGGGGCCTTCCTGGTCATGTCCTCTGATCTCCCACAAGATGGAATTCCCTCTGTCCCAACACTGATACCGGGACCGCAAACATGTTTGTTCTAAAGGGATTTTTAAGTACCCTGGTCCTTATATCTTCGTGCTTCTCAGTGACATGAACCACGGGACTTTCTCTATGATTCACTGTCTTAGAAATAAGCTGAGCTTATGGATTTCATGTCAATAAACAATCACTGAGCAACTACTATGTGCTGCCAACTTTGTGATCTAAGAGTTCTTCAGGACAGTGATCTTGTCATGGTTCTTGGAGGATACACCAAGATTAATTATTCAACATTATACTGGGCATACAGTAATGACTTTTAAACTTGACTCACTATCAATCTCAGATCTAAGTACAACTCCACCCAAAATATTTTTTAAGCCTCAGCATTTGGGAACTAGACACTTTGCAAAGCACAGAGATGCTAAGCTATCCCAGGAAGCCCCTTCCTTGAAAGAGATTTCCAGCCCACTGGGAGGGCAGGCCACAAAGCACTGACAAGGCAGGGAGGAGTTCAACTGAAAAGACCTTCTGCTTTCTTCTATATTTGCATCAGGGGCCCCTCCCCCACCCCTAGCAAGACAGATGTTACTACTGACTGAATAAGCTTGTATAGGATCCACCCACCCAGCAAAAAGCAGGAGGACCTTACTTCCAGCCAGGTAATTGCTCTGGACATTAGAGACATCATCTTTCCCTCTGAAGTAGGAGGAGACAGACATGCAATTAACACTATGGCACAAAAGCCATTTGGATTCATTCAAAAACATCTCCCCTGGCCACCTGTTAAGGGAGCTGGACAGTCCTGACTCAGCCCCCTTCCAGGGAGGGCAGGTGTGATGGGGGGGCACACCCCTCCTCTTTCAGCTTCAGCTTTTGTGAGGGGAGAAGGCCTGTGAATGCGGCCCTCAAGGGCCCTGACCGTCTGAGGGTGCTGGAGGAGGATGGTCAGAGCATGCACAGGACACACTGGAATTACTCAGAGGTAGTACAGGGACTCATACGTTAATCAAGCAAAGGGTCCAGAAACAGGGCCCAGGCATCTGGGCTGAAGGTGAATTCAGCATCCCCAGTGGCCCCTCTGGTGATGTCACAACTGGCACAGGTTGCTGTAGGGCCTTGAGAAGAAAGTGCCCAGTCACAGACTTGGGGTGTGCGGGGGAGGGGGAGCGAGAAGAGGTAAATAACCATCATATAGCTCCTCCCCTAAACCCCTTATTAGAGCCAAGCACCTGCTTAATCCCCACCAGAGAACAAACAGAAACAGGCTGAAGAATATATTCAAATCACAGAAATTTTAGAACAAAGAGGGTGGTCAGAGGTCAGTATGCCTGTTGCAAGCACACACCTAAATCATGAGTGTTCACCCTAATTTAAAATATATTCAAGGTACAAAATTCCAGAACCCCCCTTGTGATTCTTCTCACTGCTTCCTGCTACCATCACAAGTTCTTTATGATCAAAGAAAAAACAAAACAAAACAAAACAAAACAATCCTGTGACAATGCCTACCACTTTTTTTTTATTCCAGCTTTCCCAGACTTGAGGTCAGCTCATTAGCTATAACCCCTTGTTCTGATCCTGCTTTCTCTGGATGGTTTTAACTCATTTTCAGATATTAAAAATCATTTCTCCTATGACACTTCCACCAAATCTTTGAGCAGATTATACCTCAAGTGACATAGACGTCATTAATGAATGACTTCTAGTAATTAGTGATATATAATTCATTTTAACTCAGGGCAACTCTTTTTTTATTTATTTCTTGTGACTTCCTCACAAAGACCCTATTTGACAGTCAGAGATCACAGTCAAAGATTCCTTGACAGTCACAGATCACATCTGATTCCTTTCCACATGCTGTGAACAGGGATCTCATACTCGCTGGTCCCTCCAGCTGCCCCACACACAGCAGGTCCAGGGGTCTTTCAGCCCTTGGGTTGGCTCTGCTCTAAATGGACATCAGCTCACCCCCCTTAAACTGCAGATTCCAGAAATGGTTGCCATACTGCTGAGCAGTAATCTGGTGAGCCCAGAATAGAGCAGAACCATCACCTGGGATGCTTGGGAAATCACAGTGCAAATATATTTTTGAAGTCATCTTCTGAATCAGGGGGATCTGGAATTAGTCACTGTTCTCTGACGAGTCTCTGGCTACAGCCTCCAGACAGTACATGCATGTGTAACCTATGTATACATATCTCCGCAAGGAGTGCTCCTGGTCCCTTCTCCCAACCAGACAAATGCAAGTCCTAGTGGATGGCGATGAATTCATCCAGCATTCACCCCAACTCAGACTATGCTACAATTCTGAATTGGTATGTGAACAAGCCCAGATCTGACGCAAAACCACAGTCCTTAGAGATTCTCTTCTCTGAAGATGTCAAGCCTGTAGCAAATGTTTTCCTGTTTCAAGTCCAAACATTTGTTCCTTAGTCTCTGGACGGTCTGACTTACAGAAACAATACTGTGAGCTCATTAAGAAAACTAAATCCGGCTCTGTCTTGTCCATAACCGGGAATGGAAGGTATGTGAGAACATGTGCATAGTGAAGGCATTCTGGTCCCGGCACACTTTTCTAAGGAGGTCTCAGGTGATTATCAGGACTTGCTGATCAGAACTGTCTAATTCAGGGGTGAGCAAACTACCACTGAGGTCAAATCCAGCTGGCCACCCATGTGGGTATGACCTAGGAGCTGTGAATGATTTTCACATCCTTAAACAGTTGAGGAAAAAAACAAAAGAAGGCTATCTTGTCACATGAAAATTATATAAAAGAGACATTTAGAACCCAAAAGTAAAGTTTTAGAGGGTAGGCAGCTCAGTGGCTGCTTTCCCTGTACCTGGTGGAGTGAAGTCACCTGGACAGAGACGGTAGGGCTGACAAAATCTAAAACATTGCTATCTGGTCCCTCACAGAAAGGGCTGCCTAATGCTCCATCTAACAGTGTATGACCTTGAAAGGGTTGGTTTTTTGTTTTTGTTTGTGTGGTTTTTTTATCTGGCCAGTCTGCTTCTCCCCTGTCAAAAGGGGGGTCGGGGTGGGGGCAGAGAGTGTCCCCCAGTTGAGGAAAAGTCAGGGCTGCAGTCTTGCTCCTGCCTTAAGAAGAAATTTGTAGGGTCAAGAAAAAGAGAAGAGAGAGTTTTCTTTCTAGGGAGGATGATAAACTCACTCTTTCTTTCTCTCTCAGTGGGGTACTGCCTTCCATGGTCTTGACAACGGCACTGCTCTGCCCTGGGCAGCTCCCAAAACATCCCTTCTTCCTTTCCTTCTTCCCAGTCAGCTCTTTCCACCTGGCCCTAAACTTCTCTAACCTGTGGAGCGCTGAACAAGGCGAAGGTGAGAACATGCCCATCACGCAAGGCTAGATGGGGAGAAGAAAGGCAGGAGACAGGAGGAAGGGGGTGTCCATAGAAGCACAGTTTGTTAGCAAGTGTCAGAAAAGGTAAAGAAGCCCCTTCCAGGCTAGGCTGAGCCTGGGCTGAACCCCAAGGGAGACAGAGAGCTCCCATGCCTCCCCCACCCCTCTACTTGCCTAAATCAAGCAAATAACTAACAATGCAAGGAGGTGTGGGGGAGTAAGGCCCAGCCACTGAGTATCTATTTTCTGAAAACACATGGCAAGTCTCTGAGCCAAATGCCAGCTAAGCCAAAGAATAAACAAATCCCTTTATTTCCCTGAGACAGGAGCTATCAACTTCCCCTCTCATCTCCTTCAAGCCAGATCCATCCATCAAGGCTCACACTCCCTGTGGAAAAGCACTGTCTGACCACAGCTCAGAGGGAGACCTGGCCCCTAACTCTCCAGCCTGCCTCCCCTCCCTTGCTACCCACTGTTCTGGTCACCTCTCCCCCACCAGGGGCACCCCAGAGCTGAGTTGGTGGATGGAGAACAGGAGCACATGGTCTGTCCACACTTTCCCCCAGAAGCTCCGGCCAGCTCTCCATGACGCACTGCTAATTCAATCACCTGCCCTCTTTTCTCCAAGTTAGAGGGCCCTGCAAAGTCTTGCTGGCCAAGGGGACCCTATCAGCCCCAGACCAATCCCCTTCCCTCCACCCCACCCAGGCCTACCCCTCAGTGTCCCAAAGCTCTGCTCCAGCTGGGGCTACTGTGAAGAAGTGGGGGGCAGGGGGAAAGAAGCTAGGGAGGGAGAAGAATGTGGCATCTCTGCAGCATGATGTCACGCTGGCTGCTTTCGGATCCCCCAACACAGAACTGAAGCAAACAACATGGACTCCGGATTTACCCTGCCTGGGAAGGCTTGTGTTCTCGGCAGCTCTGAGCAGCCTGCGCCAGCTGGAAAAAGCACACCACCAGACAGATGGGTCCTCACTCTCGCCCCCAGGGCCCCCACCCGACCCCCCGGGCAGAGCCACCCTCTCAAAAAAATCCCCCAGGAAACAAAGATAGACTGACACATACACACACACAGCGTCAGCACCGGTTAGCACTAACCTGGAAGCCATTAGGAACGTAGTAGAGTGCAGTGCAGAGAGGAACTCATTCATTCATGCATTGGGCAGAGGGGGGCGGGGGTGGGGAGCGGGGGCCCTGAGGAAGCTGGAGGGCACTCACCTCCATGACTATCCCACAGCCCTGGATCTTAGGGGAAGGGAGTGGGGGCAGGGTTCTCAGAAGCTGGGGGAGCTTCCTTTCTCTGCTGTTTCGCACTGCTCTGGAATTTTAAGCATGACTCCCCTTTATTTTCCTTCCCCCCACCTCCCTCTGCGGTTGTTATTTAGTGTGGTCCTGCAGCCGGCCACAAGTGCCTCTCTCCCTCGCCCTTGCTCCCTTTCTCTCTCTCCCTCTGACTCCCTCACAGACAGCTGTTCTGGAGCCGCTGCACGCACGCGCACAGACACACTCAGACATGCACCCTCCTTGCGCACAGACACACACGCAGACACACACGTACATGCACGCATGCACATGCACACCCTGCCGCCTGCAGCTTTACATAATGCAACTCTTTGGTGCAGTCAGCTTGCCAGCTCTCAATTATTCATGCCAGCTTGGAAGACAGAGCCACTGGGGATGGCGAGCAGTACTTCCTCTTCCTCCCCAGATCTGACAAAACACAAGATGATGCTCCCTCTGCTGCCACCAATTAT